TCCGAAGAACTCCTACCAAGAGTTCCAAGGTAACCATCACCACATCTTACTCTCGGTTGATTCATACTGACCAGATCCATTCCGGTACCGACCGATGAAAACTTCATCATACATTGGATGCGACATACTACATACATCCTTTCCACATACGTCTGAAGATCTGTCTATAATTAAATCTAAATTTATTCATCTTGCATCAAATCTGCATCCATCGGAAAAAACAAGAAAATCTTCAGCCCTGCTTCTTTACTACTACTCTTGGATGGATGATCTTGGTCTGTGTTGTGCTTATACACCCGTCTGTACAGCCATAGAGCTTTTGAACCCTTGTCGCTGACGGAGATGGGGGTGAACACTGCCCAGCGCGCCTCGCCTGTCACAACTAACAAAGCAAGTAAAACAGCTAAAGTGACCAAGTAACTAAAATAATACTAGCTAAGTAGTAACTAAATAATAATTAAATAACTAAATTGCTCTCTAACCCATCAAATTACCCGACCTCACTCTCACAACCACTAAAGGCTAGCATTAACACTAACCCCAACACACATTAGTGTACCCGCCCATCACAACCTCATGCATCGCATCTTCCGATTCTCCCCTCCCGTCTGTTCCTAAACTACCTAACGACCCAAGACCTAAGACCTAACGACTACATACCTACATACCTACATACTCACCTACTTACTACCTACTACTACTTACTACCTACCTACAATATCTGCCCCGCGTTGTGAATATTCATATCAACATCTTCGAAATACTATTTATCCCAGAATAGATATCCTTCCTACCCGGCTATAAAGACATCTGCCGAACCCACCTTCCAAGTCGATCGATCAATCAATCAATCTCAAGTCCGACTCTTAAACCTTGTTCTATACCGGCCCGGTTCATCGTTGTTGCGAATTACCAAGCCTTTTACCCCTCGTCGCGGCTCTGTGCCGACAAGAAGCAATCATAATCAATAATCAACAATCAAGCAATCTTCAATCCTCAATCTTCAATCACTCATAAGGTCTCATCACTTCGACGTCTATGATTAATATGTCTGGGTATCCGGGATACAACAATGGAGGTTATGGACCACCACCACCACACCAGCAGTACCCGCCCCAACCCTACTACCCGTAGGATGAATTTCTTCCTCCCCAATGCAATTCACATGGACTCTCACTTACTCTACTATAGACCTCAGCCAGGATATGGAGCTCCTCCCCCTCAAGGAGGCTACGGATATCCCCAGCCTCCGCCTCCACAACAACCTTACGGATATTCTCAAGTAAGATTTTCAGTTATGCAGAAGTCTGTGTCTATCACTAATGCTTTACCAACAATAGCCCCCTCCTCAACAATACGGCGGATACAATGGTGTGCCTCCTAACGCGCCACAGTACGGTAGACCAGGTTCGCAGAAATAGTCTCGGTGTTATAGTGGAAATACTGATTATTCTCCACAGGAATGCCCTCGGTCAACTCAAACGCCTATATAAATGGCAATCAGAATGCTCCACCACCACCGCCACAGGGAATGCACTCGTTTGGACAAGGCGCTCCTCAAAATTATGCCTTCCAATATTCTAATTGCACGGGGAGACGAAAAGCACTCCTAATAGGTATCAATTATTTCGGTCAGCGTGGTCAATTGCGTGGATGTATCAACGACGTCAAGAACATGTCATCATATTTGCATGAAAACTTCGGATATCAGCGCGATGATATGGTTATTCTCACGGACGATCAGCAAAACCCAATGAGTCAGCCCACTAAACAAAATATATTACGAGCCATGCATTGGTTAGTGAAGGATGCTCGACCGAATGATTCGTTATTCTTCCATTATTCCGGTAAGTGACCTAAAACTTACCATCGTACATGTGTTGATGTTTATAGGACATGGTGGTCAAACGAAGGACTTGGACGGCGACGAAGAAGATGGTTACGATGAAGTTATTTACCCGGTCGATTTCAGACAGGTCGGACATATTGTCGACGACGAGATGCACAGAATCATGGTTCAACCTCTGCAGCCTGGTGTTCGGTTGACCGCAATCTTCGACTCTTGTCATTCTGGAACTGCGCTCGACTTGCCATATGTTTACTCCACCCAAGGAGTTCTCAAAGAACCAAACCTTGCCAAAGAAGCAGGTCAAGGTCTTCTCGGTGTTATTTCTTCTTACAGTCAAGGTGATATGAGTGGTGTTGCAAGTAATTTGATGGGATTTTTCAAGAAAGCGACAACCGGAGACGATGCTTACAACAAGACTTTGGCTACTAAAACATCACCGGCTGATGTGGTCATGTGGTCCGGAAGTAAAGATGACCAAACATCGTCAGTATATTTCTTACCTTGTCATTGTCATGGATAAAAGGTTTTTTCGAGTTAGAGAAGCTCTGGCTACGGTGTATTGCAAGGGAATCTTGTGGAATTTTTATCGTCGGAGTTTATTCATTCGAATAATGAAGTATATCCTGGTCATACATGTACATAAATAGTTACGTTGAATTTACAAAGCCCGAGGTCTATATCGACAGCCAATTATGGCTAAGATGTAGGCCAAGGGCTGCAAGTCACGTTGGGTTAAGTGACCTAGCTGACCTAACCGGACCTGCCAACCAGCTTTCTAACAATTTTGGTCATAAGCAAGGACTAACGATTCTGGTACAGGGCCGATGCTACTATTGCTGCACAAGCGACTGGTGCTATGTCATGGGCATTTATCACCGCCATGAAGAAGAACCCACAGCAGAGTTACGTCCAACTGTTGAATAGTATTAGAGATGAGCTCGCTACCAAGTATACCCAGAAGCCGCAACTTAGTTGCAGTCATCCGTTGAGTATGGTTCCCCCTTTGCTTTTATAGTCCGTTTAGTGATGCTAATGATAGCAGACACAAATCTTCTCTTTGTCATGTAAATAGTCACCCGTTCAATGTATTAAAAGGGTTATGATGCAAAAGCAATATTGTACGGCATGCATGTGTTTGGAATTGGAAAGGGGGCATGTAGTTCTGAGGTCTACCAAGAATGGCATGATTGAAAGGAATATTAGTCGACTGCGGATTTTTAATTTTTGGGGATTTTTATGGATCAACGCTCTATGGCCGATTCTAGGATATATCTCTTTGGCTTGACAAAATGAATGAATGAATGATAGTAAATATCAAGATGGATCAAAGATGGATGAATTGGATAATAAATACTACTCTACCAGGAAGTCTTTTGCGCCTTGCGTTTCGAAACCCAGTGCTCAAATTTCTTTTCTCGATCGAACACCAGATACTATATTACTTTATTACTACTATGTGTGTGTATATGGTAATGATTTATATGATTCATTCATTCATTTACGTTTATTTACCTACTCCCTTCCACACCTCCTGAAATCTATCAACTAACCTAGGTACCTAGCTATTTTGGCAAACCTAACCAAACCAACCCAAACCTGTTCCAATCCAGTCCCATTCCATCCCATCCCATCCAATTCAATACAAATGCAAAAAAGCAAATGATTTTGATCATTTTTGCATTTATTGGTAATACCCGCTATCCTTAACTACCTAGGTAACATTGCCCAATTTCATAACTCCAAAAAAAGAAAAGAAAGAAAAAAGTATAGAGAACGGTGACGAAGAAGGTGGAAATGAAACTTCAGGAGACGCAATGCAACGAAACGCCAAGGTTTAGAATACAATACGATGTAATGTAATAGCCCAATCATAACTAAAATCCGTTCACACGATCTGTAATCCCCTCATTCTTCTCCTTTAATATTTCTCTCACGGCACTCTTGAGACTGCTTTTTCTAGCTACGTTAAAGGCCGGGTTAACGATCGGTTGGGCTTGGTTTGCCTTGATGGGTGATGCATTCCGCGATGGATTTCTCGAGCCCGTTCGAGATGCAGAGCGGGACGCGGAGTTTTCTTTTTTCGTCGATACTGGGGCTTGAATCCCTTCTATTGCTGCACTTTCTTCATATAAAATTCTCTTTGCCCTGTTGGCTCTCATAACTTCTAATTTTCCGAGAATCTTCTGATGCATTTTCTTGTTTTTGTCCCAGGCTTCGGCACCTTTGCGCATGCGCAGACCGGCTATGATTAAGAAGGTTACTGTGCGGATAGTGGCTTTAGGTTTTGGAACTGGAGCGGGTTCGGGAATTAGGCTTGTTTGGCGTAGGAGACGAAGATCGGCTTTGTTGCTATTGAGGTGTTAGTGGATAGAATGCTAAGCGGGATGAAAAGGGGGAACTTACCATGCATCATACATGTTGATTTTCGCGAGTAGGTATTTCTTCGCGTATGCTAAATCGGCTCGCTTGCTCTCTTCTCGAGCACATCGGGCTTTCATCCATTCGATTTGCATGCACAAACCCTTCAACTCCTTTCCATGTTTGTCGTCTCTCTTTTCAATTTCTCTCGAAAATCGCTTCTCCCCTTCTTCTTTTTCCTTCTTCAGTGCTTGGATTTCGTCTTCGGTATATGAGATTGACATATTTGGGAATCTGACACCACGACTAAGAGTGCGCTTTTCGGCTTCCCATTCACTTTTCGCCTTGATGTAGTCTTCCTTTGACTTGACATACTCCTCCTCAAGAAGCTCCAGTTGTTCTTTCGTGCTGAGTGCCCTTGCACGTTCTCGATTACGTTCTTCACGGACACGACGAAGACTGCTGCGGAGCTCAACTTCCTTAGCGCTCACAGTTTGGATGGCATTTTCGCGTTCCTTGATGAGAAGCTCCAGGGATTCACGTTGAATTTGAGTTTCTTGGAGCATTTCATGGAGGTCTCGGCGCTCAAGAGCTATAGTGTGTCCTTCACCGCTGTTTGCACGTTCGGACATGAGCGCTTTCTGGAGACGATCAATCTTGTCACTAAGTCTATTGATAGCTGCTTCAAAAGAAGCGTTTCTGGTTGAGAGCTCATCTTTGGTAAGACGTAATTCATCCAGTTGACGCTCCAACTGATCTTTCTCGGCTTCCCAGGTTTGTTCTTGGTGTTGGAAATTGATGTTCATGGCGCTAATTTTTCGTGCTGCTTCTTTGTCGGATTCCTTCATTCGGGAACGAAGATCTTTGAGAGACTGATGTGCTTCTGAAAGCTGATGACGGAGTTGGGCAACTTCTTTGCGAGTAGAGCCACCAGCAGAAGCAGGTGAAGAGGCGACGGCAAAACGAGCCATATCTGTCTCGTGTACTTTACGTTCAAGTTCAGCAATTTGGCGCTTGAGACTTTTAACTTTATCTTTGTTCGCGGTTTCGCGTTGAATGTATTCATTCTCCTTTTGACGAAGTGCTGTGAGATCTTGTTTGATTTCAGAAAGCTCACGGGAACTCTCGTTCTGGTGATCACCCGTTGCTGGCTGGCTTGCCAATTCTAGGATGCGCTCTTCTAGTCTGCTGATGGTTTTCTTAGCTGTCGCTAACTCCCGCTTTTCCGATGAGCCGCGAAGTATACGATGTAGGTCTTGAATCTCAGCGTTGAGACGGGCTTCTTCGTTGCTGGCTCTCTCAATCTCTTCGTTGAGCTCCTTCTCAATAGCCTTTTGCTCGGCAACGGCAACCTTGTGATCCTCCCGGAGTCGGCGAACTTCATTATCAAGCTTCATCTTGGCTGTTCGGAGCTCCACCCTCTCCTCTTCTAGACGGAAAGTTTCATCTTCTTGTTGCTTCAAAGCCCTCAATTGGCTAGATATCTCATCTTTCTCGGCCTTCAGTTCAGAATTTGATGATCGGAGGGAGTGTAGTTCGATGTTGACTTTGCCGATCTGGTCTTGCAAGTTCTGTTTCTCTAACCGGACCTTTGATAATTGAGCCTCATGATCCCGCAACAACTTATTCAGGCTATCTTTGGACCCTTGATCGGCCTGGAAGTCACTATGGAACACCTCCAGTTCTGCTCTTGCACTAGTAGCTGCGGCTTCTGCCTTAGCAAGGTCTTGCTTTAGGGTCTGTAGTTGTCTTCGGAGGCTCTCCGATTCATGTCTGGCGGCATTGACGTCTTGGTTGGCTTGCTCGCTTTCCTCGTCAAGGCTGGTTTGTAAAATCTCGACTTCATCTTCTAGACCCTCGATCTTCTCAGTCAGAGATCTTTGCTCACGTTGGCTGAGTCTGAGTTCTTCACGGACACTGGCCAATTCGGATCGTGAGTCTTCCAATGCCTTGCGCCGAGTCTGGACATCCTCATTCAACTCGTTAATTTGGCGTGTCAGGAGAGCTTCTTGACTCTCATGTCTCTCTTTCTCGCTGCGAATAGCCTCTCGAAGTTTCGACTCTCTTCCAGATAAAGATCCTTCTGTCTGTTGAAGTCGATCGATGGTCTTCTGAAGACCTGCTGCTTGTTCTTCCGCACGAGCCCGTTGGGTTTCCAGGTTGCGTTTCTCCGTCTCCCAGCTCTCAATATCATCGTCATACAGGCGCTCTTTCTCTCGGATTTCTGCTTTCAGATCTTCAACTTCGTTATTAAGGCGATCTATCTCTTCTGTGTATTGATTCCGCACGTCGCGTGCATTTCCGAGCGCAAGAGTCTTCTCATGTTCCAGTTTGTCTTCAAGTTCCTCAATTAAAGCTTTGGCCTGTGCCAAATCTGCCTGTAGGCTAGCAGATTCAGCCGTCAGAGCATCATGTCGACCCTGGAGGAGATTCTTCTCATCATTTCTCTGTTGAAAATCTCTCTGTAATCCCTGCAAACTTTCGAGTCTCGTGGCTAGAGCTTTTCGCTCCTGAATAGTCTGATCAAGATCATTTTCAACGTGCTCAAGTTTATCGTGAAGATTCTGCTCCTTCATTTCACTGTCGCGTCTCAAGTCCTCTAGTCTCTCTTGCATTTTTTTTACTTCACGTGTTTTTTCGGCATATTGCTGTTCCAGGTTTTGGTGTCGTTCTCGAAGATCCTCCAGGTCGTCTTGCAATCGGTTGGCCTTTTCCTCAATTTGTCGACTCAAGCCTTTGGTGGTAATTGACTTGTTAGCTAGCTCATCTTGGAGTTCTTCTAGGTTAGCTTCGGCACGCTCCTTATCCCGAATAGTTTCTTGATGAGATTTCTTAGCCTCTGACGCTTCAATCCTCAGGCGTTCTACATCACGCTCTAATTCCTTTATCGTTGACTCGGCCTCTCTGAGCTCGTCGTTTGACTGGCCCTGTGATTTTTCTTCCAACTCTATTGCTCGGCGCTGCGATTTCTTCAGAGCTGTCTCTAGATTGGATATAGTCCCAACATGTTTCTGAACATCGTCTTTTAGGTTGTCAATATCGTCTTCCCGATCATTAATGACTCGATCCTTTTCACGTAACTCTGCTTCCAGATCATCCATTTTGTTCTCCATGTCAGCGTACTTGTCTTCCTGGCTTCGCACTCGATTTAATTCATCCTCCTTCTCCTCCAAGACTTGACGTAAATTATCGAGCTCCTCCTGTTGTCCAGCACTAACATGCCTCCTCTTGAACTTTTCCTGCATATCCAGGATTTGTTGTCGATATTGTTCGACATCTTTCTCTGCTGCTGTCAACGTCTTACGGAATTTTTGCAGCTCCCTTTGCATGGTAACTTTGTCGACCTTGAGCTCAGTATTCTCTTTCAATGCAGCTTCACTAAATCCCGGCCCTGCCTTTCTCAAGGCTTCTTCCAGGAAATGAATCTTGAGCTTCAATCCAAAGTTCTCTTTCTCAATTCTGTCGATTACATTTTCCTGCTCACGTAATGATAACTGATTTCCATCCTGTAGAACCCCGGGTCCCTCATTTCGCCGGGGCAATAGAGCTGCAGGTGTCGAAGCTGTGCTACTATCGATATGTGGCATCGGCGTGCCGGCCATGTAGGAACCGGTTCTTGTCGAATCGTCGCCATATGCTGACCCCGCAGGTAGTGGGCTGAAACCTTCCTGAATTTTGTCCAATCCCCCCGCACGAAGAAATGCTGGTGTGGCCTGAACATTCTCTTTGTTATTCCGCCGGGCACTATTCATCGTTGCATTCTTTAGTAGAGGCGTGAACTCTCCTCCTCCAAGCCCGGCCGGCAAATTTCGTCTATCTCCCAGCGTGGTACGACCTCTGGGAGTACGGATATTGACACCACGACGGCCATTTTGCATCTGCGAAACTAGGTTGTTATCCTTCGAAGGAGATTGGAAAGACTGTTCCTGCGAGATATCGAAGTCCAGGGCATGGCTACCTAGATAAGTAGCATCTCCAAGGGCTGTGCGTGGTGTATCGAGCCCTGCTATTCCAGCTTGAACCATTATGAAAATTGTCCTGAGCTTTTGAGCTCAAATTATGTAGGAAAAACTTATAATTTACTGCAAATAAGATACAAAAATAGCGAGCATAGCGATTGACTCCGAAGCAAAGGTGATATCTTTTAGTCGGAGTGCAATTGGTACAAAAATAAATTGGAATTGTGGTTTTTGAGGATGCGTTGGAAGAATTGGAGTTTTTGGATTGATATCAGTAGATACGCGATTATTTCGATTGTTTACCTTCTTTCCAATAGAGGTTAGCCCCACCAGGTTCTCCCGGTTGCCAAAACAAATCCCTTGCACGACCTTTTTACACCAATCATAATCTGATAATTGATTTTGCTGCACTGTCAGCCTTATTGAACTTCTAAAGTCTTCCACCAACACTATTGACCTCCAAAATATCGAATCCTTGATAGTAACGACATATTCTGAATATGGATGGGCTCGACGATGATTTTAAAGGTTTTGGTGAAGGTTTCGATGGATTTCCCAAACGACTTCCGGAAGATTGTGTGGAATACTCGCTCTATATTGTCAACTCCAAGTTGAAGTCACAAAAGGATTTACTCGGCAGATTGGAGGATGTGCGAAAAGAGTCTTTGGCTCTTTTGAAGGATCTTACTAAAGACTATATATGGCAACGGGATAGCTTCAGGCTGGAGGTAAAGACTGAGAAGGGTATGATGCCTACTACATGTTGTTCTGCGCCCGTGTATTAACAACTTAGCAGGCTTGATATACCTTAACGGGATTACAAATTATGGAGATTCTGTCGGAGACGAATGGCTTATTGTGTATATACTTAAAGAATTGAGCAGTCGATTTCCTACATTATGGATCAAAGTTGTGGACTCTGATGGCGAGTTTCTTTTAATTGAAGCTGCCAATGCTCTCCCGAAATGGTTGAATCCTGAAATCGCAGATAATAGGGTAGGTATCTGGTTCACATACACAAGTGATTTGATTCTGACGCCTAGCAGGTATGGATTCATAATAATGCCCTTCACATTATACCGTTGCGTGCAGTCACTGATTCCTCAATCAAATCCCCTACTGCCCCAGTATCTCGATCACTTACCTTAGAAGAAGCCCACAGAACCATATCTTCAACTCCAGAAATACTCATACGCTCACCCCTTATCGAAGCAGAAGCATTCTATCGTTTGCGAAGCTACCCAGCTCAAATCGCAGCATCGCTTCACCATGCTCGTATCACAATACCGCGCAAACTTGCCTATATACTTCATCTGCTTCCTACTTCTATAGCCCCGGCAGTCGAAGCATTCTACCTTCGAGATCCAATTGCGCTTAAGCCGCTTCAATCAGCTTCATCCAATCTTGTCTTCCCACCAAAGGATTTAGTCACCATCTCAACTCGATTTACTAAAGTACTCTATGCTCAACTGAAGTCGCAACAGTTTTCTGCGCCATCTGCATGGAAAGATATCTTAACGCTGCCCAAGGACGACGCACTTGTGGAAGATTTCACGAAACTGGAGATGGGAATGAAGGTCACCTCCGGCTTCGAAATGCTAGTCACAGATCCTAAAAACCGCGATCATCGATCCGTTAGAGAGATTAACATACTTCTGGAAGATCTTGATGGAGATGATTCTAACCTTCCAAATGACGAGGAGATATCGACGTGGAAGGAAAATATGAGAGATGACGATGAAAAATGGCTCGACATCAATTTTGAAGATTTCGAAAGGGAACTAGACGGAAAAAATAAGGAAAAGAAGCCGGCTGGAATTCCTGGAGCTTTTGGACCGGAGCCACCCTCGGGGTTCGGCGATGCAAAGACCGAGGCCGATTTGAAGAAAATGGTGGAGCGATTTGAAGCTTTCCTTAATGATGATGATGCCGGACCTGACGGTGCTGAAATGGATGATATGGACGTTGATGACGATGACGATGACGATTATGATGATGACGACGATGAAGATAGTGAAGAGGACAAAGACGTCAGTTTCGACGAAGTGGAGTTCGCAAAGATGATGAGAGAAATGATGGGAATGCCAACGGATGACATACAGGAATCGGCATCCCCAGCCCAGCAAGAAATATCTCGCAGGATTGAGGAGGTCGATAGCGAGGATGAAGGTGGAGAAGATGATGAAGCGGAAGCAATTCAAAAGGTGATGAAGAGAATGGAAGCTGAGCTGAATGAAGCCGGAGCCCTCAATTTAGATCCTACCCCAAGTAAAATTGCAGCTCTTTCCGGAAGGAAGACGGGCAGGGGAAAGGATAAGGAACAGGAACAAGTACAAGAGAAAATGGATGAAGATGAGGAAGGCGAAGAAGAAGAAAGTGACCAGGAATTGGATATAGATTTCAATCTGGCGAAAAATCTATTGGAAAGTTTCAAAAGTCAAGCGGGGATGGCGGGACCCGGGTCCAATCTTCTCGGCATGATGGGCATGAAGCTACCTCGCGATGAAGACGACGAGGGAAGAAGTCGAGGGAAAAGGCCTGAGTAAATATTGAAAAGAATTAAAAGATAAGATTAATGTTGCCTGGGTATCACTAATTACATCAAACACGCTAGTAAGCTTCAATTTTCCTCGACCAAATCCTCGATGCCAATTTTCCGCCTCTTGGCACCCTCGACCTCCGGTGGTACAGATGAGCTCGGGCTTCGCGCTCTCTTGAGAATATCATTGACTGCAATATCCACCTTTTCAAGCTCTGACAAGGCTGCTGTTAAATTCCTCCTGTTTTCTAATTCGCGTCTACTGCTGTCGCTTTGTGGTCGGTAGTATTCTGTCACTATTCCTACTACCGCTCTGTAGCAGCGGTAGAGCAACAATCGCACTTGTGCATTGTCCGTGTCCTCGATAAGATCATCTTCGTCACCTCCTGCTTTCCAGCCTTCAAGAAAACCTTCACTAGGGTTTTCAAATACGCTTGAGAGTAGGGGATCTCCAAAGATGCCCTGACTCCAGTTCCGCAGTCCTGTCAATTTGAGACTTTCAGTAGGGATCTGTGAAGTGCCATCTTTGACTCCATTCTCGATCATGATGTTTCGTTCGCCTAGGTCAAGTAGTACTAATCTAGGGAGTTTGATTGCGTCCATGCGCCAGGATAAGCGTTGGTAGTGTGATCGCACTACGTCGTATGGGAGCAAGACGGCCATGTCCTCTCCATCGCGCAAAATTGATTCAAGTAAGGTGTTGAAAGCTTCTGACCAGGTTGTGGAGCATTCGCCTAAGGGTGCTGAAGGGGGTGATTGTTTGAAGGGGTCTGGGAGAACTCGAGCTGCTGTGCCGAATTTGCCGTTGGGTGAGGTGAGAGAAGCTAAGCTTCTCGTCAGGGATCCGACTTGCTTATCGATGAGCTGACGTTCCGGTAGACTGAGGTATACCGAAAGGGCGGATAATGCTTTTCCAGGTGTCGGTTCAAATATTGTGTATGGATATGCCATCTCTCGATTATTGGATGAATGCTTTAGCATTTTGGGCACCACGTCTTCTAGCTTGATGAATGCTATACCATGTTCTACATCTTCCATACCCTCAGAATTTACAGAATTGGCTTTCTGGTTCGACGTCTCGAGGAAATGTACAAGTGTTGCTTCGGAATATTGAAGCGTAGTCTCGTGTCTCAAGAGCCGGACTGCTAAGCTGGGCGCAAAGGATAGGAGAAGTTTGTTATCATTCGACATGTTGAGAGTGTATAGTCTGGGTAGCTGCGTAGAGGGTAATTCTTCGACACTTCCTAATTTTATATCCGGTACCACATGGCTAAGTATCTCCTTGAGACGTCGTACTGGGACCGAGTACATCAGGGACGTCTTGAAGGACTTGCCGGGCACGGCAGTTTTGTAGGAAGCCATGATAGGAGTAATGTGGTGTTCAGATGTCAGGGTGAGATCTGGGTATGTACGGTTCAAGGATAGAGTGGGAGAAGTAGTGGATTCGATCAGCCTGAATATGAGGGTGATAAACTTGATAGGGATATGATATGTATGCCGTGGTTCTGTGACCTGGCAATGGTATCTTCCCGGTTCCTGGGTCGGACAACAGCCCTGCCAGACTTATATTCAAGTACGATATGATGTAGGGTTGGCTTGGACAGTTGGACACAGGAGTATATCTCGGCGTCACTCTGATCTCGTCAATTCGCTTATATTGCGCTTTAATTGGTCCAGTTGCGATGATGGAGTTTTGGTAAGTGTTTCGTTTTGGGGCCCACAGCACTGGAAATTAGGTATTTGAAAGATCAGCGGTGGAAGGAAACGCACAAACCCAAAGTATGAGATTAGGTAGAAATATTATCTTGCATCGACTTATTGATGCGTGGTTGGGAAGTAACCCTCGGTGTTTGGAGATTGGGTGCCTTCAGGTGGTACTCGACGAAAGAAGGGTGCCTGCGAGGCATGCAAGGCAGCCACCTTTTTCAGAATCCTGGAATATCTTCTGCGGTCAAGAGAGCGCGAATTAGGTTTATCCTTAATCACGTAGAGTTCTTTGAAAGGGCTATTTGAAATGAGCGCCGAAACCTTGGCTCTGATCGGCGACGAGACCTTGATGGTGGGGAGTTGTGGATGGCCGATGGATACTTATGGGCTGTATCGGGTAGTTATTTTGTGATTGTATATATAGCTAGTACTCTGTTGGTCTGTACATAGATGGATGTACATTTAAAGTAATTCTCGAAGCGAAACACAGGTGTAACTTTTCCGAAGGGAGAACAACGCGAAACAAAAAGAGGTTAGACACCGATGGGAGATGAGATTGAGGCGTTTTTTTCGAAGGGTTCTGGAAATGTTGAGAGATTCCTAGGCAATGAATGGGACTTGCACCAGAAAGGTAATTCTTGAGAGTAATCATGTATAGTGACGAGCACTAGAAACTAGTAAATTGCGCTTGAGGCATGTATGAGAAGATGAGATCTTTGTTAGATAGCTCCCGCTGGGGAATGTATACCGTCAGTCGTGGTGTTGGCCAGAATGGAGCGCAGTGGATACTTCAGGTACGGGATTATTTGGGACAGGTAAATTTCACAGGGACTAGATTGGAATGGATCATGAGATCTTCCACATCTCGGTCGATTCGATGGATGGGATGTCTTTGTTATCGAGACCCAAAGCCAACCACGGGATTTTATGAATTTACTCGAGATTTATTATGTCGTTGTGCAATTTTTAGGTCCCCGAGACATGGGCTTTTTTGTTAATGCATCAAGTCGATGATGCATATGCAGATGCAGATGTAGGTGTTGGTGGTGTTGGGAAATGTACGAAGTAGACGTAATTGTGATTGAATCTTAGATGAATATGCAGTTATGATTAGTTCGGATGTGGATAATGGAATACATGCTCCGACAAAACTAACTTGAGTACGAGAGGGGTGTTTATTATAGGGCGGGTTTTTCTAGTAGTATAGGTACCTGGTACTTCGTATTGTGAAGTTTGTTGTAACTGTAGTGGCAGGAAATAGAAATGGAAATTGAATTGGAATTGGAATTGGAATTGGAATTGGAATTGGAATTGGAATTGGAATTGGAATTGGGATTGGGATTGGGATTGGGATTGGATTGGATTGAAGATTGATTAGATTGGTGGGGTGGGGTGTATCATTTGCTTTGGGTACTAACTTGTTGTAAGTTACTCTGTAAATACTAAACAGTCAACAGTCAAGAGTAAACAGGGGAAGGAAAGAAACAATTAGAATTCTACGATTGGTCCGAAATAAGCGAGTTTTGCTTTGGGAAGGTGTGCCTAGTGTTACCTAGCTAGATGCAGTACGGAGTAGCTAGTAGGTTTGTAGTGTACATGGGAAAGGTTTGTCATCTCACATCTATCATTTCACATCCATCATCCATCGTCCATCATCCATTCAACAAGTGATATCTGCTCTATATACCAACGACTATACCTACCACCTACATAAATGCTACGACTAAATGCGATTGCGAAGTACTCCATGACACTACACTACAGTACAGTCAGTATCACCGAGGCTCGATAGGGAGTATAGGTAGGTACTGCGTAGACTCATGCATGCATGCATACATGCAACGCATAAGAGCCAAATCCCGACAATTTTTCAAGAGGCGTACGGCGTACAGTCCGCAGAGTACAGAAACAAAATGGGGGATCGGCGAAGGAAATTTGACAACAAAAAAGACCCATGATGAAATCATTGAACATGGAGCTGAAGTGGATATCCCAAAAATTCCAACACTCACTAGAAACAGATCTTTCCGTGTTGAAATCTGGTTTGCCATTTCTCTGCTACTCCACCCTTCTCATCATCTGCTCCGATGAGATGGAATAATATATTAAACACGTGGCGTTGGTAAATCATATATATGATGATCTACGAAAAGAATCGTAGCTCAGAAGGAAAATAAAATAGACTGGTGATATACTTTTAAAGGTATGTATGTATATCCAGGATGCATGTACCTACCTACTTAGGATGCAACAACAAAAGAAAGCCACCTTATTTTTATTTTTATTTTCCTCGGGAACCCAAAAACTTTTCGTCTGATTTTTCAATCTCGTCTATCCAAATCCCCATTCATCCCAGCCCATCCAATCTTCGCAATGGCTAATACCAAAAATCTCATATTTCAAGTTCCAATAACCATTTTCACCGTCCTTCCCCAAAAAATCTCGGATCAACCAGTCCAGTTCCACCCCACCCCTCGTTAAATTTCAGCCGATCAGGTTAGCCGCGTTCCAGATTTGGCCCGAGTGCAAGAGATGCACCTTGATTCGGCGTCCCATGTAGCGAGCTTGCATACACCATGGGAGAGATCAAATCTTTTGTGCATACCATATGCGTATTGTTTGTGTTATTGGAGGCGAGGTCTGAGGAGGGGATGGATGGATAGGGAGTAGGCCTAGTTTCAAGCGTTCTGCAAATCATCACACAGAGAATTCTACTATGTACAGTACTGCAACAGCCAAGGTTACCGTTAAGCGAGTGCGAGAACTTCTAGCCGTCCACGGGTATCGTTGTTCAGCTGGGTTTATCGATTAAAATCATGGTGGCACCCGGTATGTGAGATAATGCAATATTGTGATCAGTAGTTAGCTCTACATTTACTTGTGATATGCACTTGGTAACATGTTACATTGTCCGTATTAGAAACCATGTCCATGATTCGGAAAAATTAACTTTTCGTCAAGATCGTGATATCAGTTTTCCGGCGAATATTCCCCGCCATCCACGTTTTTCATTCTTCCAGACCTTCTAGGGCAATATCTATGCTTGCATATATTGGAAATGCTGATGTGAATGTAGCGGTCAAGCTTGTGCCTTTGAGGGACCTAAAGGCTGGATGTATACTCTTACTCCCTGCAGATGGAACGGTGGGTTTGTTGAGATTTGAGCATGAGGAACATTGAAAGGGTGATGTAATATAAGATTACTATGATATTATATGATATGAGATATGAGTAAGGTAAGCTGATCTAAGCGCGTGTGCGAACGGATCCATTGCTGTGGAATATGCGCAGGTATTCAAATAACCGATTTTTGATATCTTATATTTGGCGTCACAAGGGGCTGTTGTATTTCTCTGGAAAAAGGATTGCCGTGCACGTTTGTGATGCAAAGTGATGCCAGTGATTCAAAACAGCTAACTGCCGTTTGATTTGTCGGGTAGTGCCCGAGCCTCGTCTGTAGTTACGCTTTCGGGCGTAGGTTTTGGTTTGGCTTCTACTAGTCCCCCAGATTTCGAATTGGTTGAAGGTGACTGGAGCTCGTAAAGGTTGTAGCGCTTAAGCTTTTCCCAGTCATCTCCAACGACACTCATACCACATATAGTCTAGCCAACACAAGTTAGTATCCCAGTAATTGCATGTGTGGGTTCCGATTTCGTTACCTGGTAAATTTCGATTATTATCACTTTGTCTGGCTTAGTGAGATTTACTTTATGATTGTCATTCACCAGCGAAGCGACCTGTTTAATCACGGTATCCCGCTTCAATGTGCTGTGATTGCGTATCGTGGGTCGAATGGCATACTGCAAGGGAGTCAATAAATCTTGACCCAGAACTCAAACAACCTAATTAAACTCTAAGGCTAGAACTTCAATGTCGTGGCAGCACTATACGCAAAAGAGGAATACGTACCGAATATGCAGCAGACTCTTCCGATTCTGTGGCTTCGCCAGCGAGTCGAAAATGAGCGCCTAGCACGGTCTGTCCGATTTCCTCGATACCTTTTTCTGTGGCTTTTCCGATGACTGACATTGGAGTTAGACGATTTACAAACCTCAGTTTCCTTACCCCGCCTGATGCTGCATCTTCACACATCCTATGGACTAGATCAGCTGGATCTATTGGTGATCGAGTCTTGAAGAAGAGCACGCATTGAATGTCTAGGTAAACTGCTGAGAATAGCTTTTCCGTCGGATCTTTATGCGCTGCAACTTCTTTTTGAATCGATTTCTCAATGTCGTCAACTGATTCGATAGCGTCTTCATCTTCTTCGTCATTGTTCTTGCTACCTGACTTCACGGATATACCGTAGTATTTCTCAGCAGACTTGGGGGGAATTAGCATGAACTGGCAGCAATTATGGCTGAAAGGTGTTAACTGACCTCCTCAAGTAGACTTCTCAGCTCTTCTGTTGCCTTTCCTTCTTTACCCTTCACGCAAGTTGCCCAGATTCCTTGGTCGCCGGGCTCTATCCTCCCACCATTTTTAGAGGCCATTTTCGTTTGTTGATGTGGAGTTTGCCATTTCCCATTTGAGCCGCCCTGCATAAAATGTCAGAAAGCTCTCAGGGAGACCGGCAAAAGCAATGCTGAAGCATAGATTTTGAGCTCGAGACTCAATCAAAAAAAAAAAAAAAGCAGTAACACCAAATCAGAAATCGATAGCCAATCCAAGTTCATTTCCATGGAAGTGCAACATCTCACTGATGATTTGACCAGAAATCACACTCCCTCTCCGTATGTATTGGAGCCATCATTAAAGATTAAAATCCAATCAGCTGCCTTGGTTGAAAGAACCCTAACGGTTAAAGGTTGATCTCATTGAAGAGCCAAAATCCCCGACCCAAAGACTTCGAATTTAATCAAGTCTCCTTTCCATCTCCAAGTTCACCCAAACCATCAACAAAAGCGCACTTCCAACCAGCACTTCCCCCACAGCCACTCATCCCAAAAGAGGAAACCCAAGACAATACCAAAAGTTCGAACGGGAACAGAAACGTACCTTGGCTCTCTTTCCCCCTCTATTATTTCCATCTCGCGCATCTCTCGTATCTTTCCCACCACTGCCCTCGGACCTTTCTTTTCTTTTATTATTCGAATCCGCCATCACCTTTACAAGCTCGGCTTTTCAATGTATTCCCAACTCAATTCCACCTACTTTCTCGAGTTTATGGGACGAATTCCTAATCCTAATTCGTTGTTTTGCTATTCTTGTGGGAATCTTGAGATCACGCCGTCCAAACAAAATGGAAAATATTGCTTAGTCAGATGAGTATACCCCACTTGGCCTGATGGGGTCAAGTGATGAAATTTGAACTGATGAACGGTTTGATTCAAAAAGTAGGGTTCAAACTCAATTTCTAACTCCAGCAGACAAGATACTTTTGGTTAGGATATGGTTCATGATGTCTGTTAGCTGTGGCTATACTCAAGTATATCAACCTTATATGCCACCTGTCTTGAGAGTGACAGATCGAGGATCATGACAATCAATGCAAGACGATTCATCATTCTTATGGATCCGAGTGAGAGGAAAATTTCATTAATTCATTATTATCTTATTCTGCCCTGGCAGCTAATCCATACGCCTCCAAAATCCCAATTGTGTTAGAGCCCAAGTTATTAATCACACCTTGGCATTATTCTTCGCACTAGCCTCAGCCGTCAACACCAATGCTCTTGGAGCATCTTCCTTTGGGATATACAATTCCACAAACTGCAGGCAGTCCGCAGCATTGAACTCCTTATTGGTAAAGAGCTCGTTGACCTGATCTTTTGTCTTAATCTGGTGAAGTTGGTATTTGCCTTCTTGGGCGCCGAATGCAGGTACTAAATCTTTGTGCTTCCAGGCTGCTATGTCGTTGTATTCTGCTTCCATGCCGTGAATGAACCGCTCGATGGTATAGCCATCATTACAGATCACAAAGCTATGATTATCATTAGCCATATTGGTTATGATCGGATTGGTGAAGGGACTTACATGATGGGCTTCAATCCAAGGCGAATCATCGTGCTTACTTCTTGGACTGTGAGCTGGAAACTTCCATCACCGACAAATAAGACGGTTCTTCTGTCATTCCCAGCATCTCTTGCAGCTAGCGCAGCACCTTGGCAGGCACCAACGGAGTATCCAATACTACCCCACAACACTTGGCTAAGAGCTGTGACTCCCTTGGGAAATTTCGTTTCCCAGATACCAAAATTGGCTGTTCCAGTTTCGGTGATTACAATATCATTCTCCTTCAAAAACTCACCTGCCCTGGGCCAAAACCATGCTTGCGTGATGGTGTCTGAACTATCCTCATTTGCAGTGACCTTGTTTTCCATCTTGGGCCCTGGAACGGCAGAGAGCTTTTCAAGGTCAATTTTGTTAATAATCTTCTGGAGAACTCCTCGCATGTGAACACCCGGGTATTCAGAATAACGAACAACAATGGTTGTGCTGTGAAAGTCAATTGTGTTGAGCTGAGAGGTCTTGTAGGAGAATCCAGCGGTATTGAAGTCGCTTTTGATTGCTCCAATTGTCAAGATGAGGTCTGAAGACTCAACTCGATCTTTAACATCTGGCTGGCTACCACTTCCAGCATAAACACCTCCATAGTTTTCGTAAGTCTCATCAACAGCTCCTTTGCCCATTGGCGTTACGAAGACAGGCAACCCAGTCTTCTCAATCAATCCATGCACCTCCGGGATGACTCTATGTCTAATCGCGCATGCATCGACTAGGATGATAGGATTCTTAGCAGCCTCAAGGTACTTGAGAACTACGTCAACAACGTAATCCTCCTTATCTGGGTCATTTGGAGGCAAGGACAAGTCGATAGGTGTCTTCAGTCGTTCTCCTTCGACCTTCTTTTGAACCATATCTGTTGGCAAAGAAATGTAAACCGGCTGACTATGGATCCAGCATTGTTGTAGTGTATGATCGATCAAAGCAGCCGCTTCGTTGGGATCATTGATCTTAGCCATTGCGCAAGAAATCTCCTTAAACATATCCGCGAAAACATGGAAATTTCCATTTCCAAGCGTGTGATGTAGAAGCATGCCATCCTTTTGCGAAATTGTTGAAGGAGTCCCAACTATGTGGACGACCGGGACCCGTTCGGAGTAGGCGCCGGCAATAGCATTAATTGCTGAGAGCTCTCCCACACCAAATGTAGTCATGATTGCGGAAATCCCTTTCACTCGAGCGTAGCCATCGGCAGCATATCCTTCAAAAGATGGTCGTTAGGTATGGACTGTTGGGTGATGGACCAAAACTCACCTGCATTCAACTCATTGCAGTTACCAACCCATTTCAACCCAAGTTTAGGAATGTAGTCAAGAGCAACTAGATTGTAATCTCCTGGTAAACCATGAATCGAGTCAATTCCAATTTGCTTCAATCTCGTAAAAAGATACTCCGCAATATCCACTGGGGATTTGAGGGATTCGGTTCTGAGGTCTACCATATTGATTGACAATGGCGGGGTTGCTGGAAGTGGTAGTTGTGAGGTATGCAGAGCTTTGAATATTTGAATTATTCTTGATAATGGTATTTTGTGGAAAGAAACAGTAGATGAATGAGAAAGCGACGGGGTTCAGAAATGAAATACGAAAGCGGAAAGTAAACTCTTGAGTCTTTATAACTTTTCCATAGAGAGCCGTTTCTGCCGTCGATACCGATAGCAACACCACCCATTAAATCACCCCACCAAAAATGACGTTGTAATGAGTTCTTTAGAGCTGCAAGGCATGATTTAACTCCACCATGGCTTATTAAGTCAGCCACATACAATCATCCACCCAATACAAATCTTGATTATAGAGACCCGCATATGAATGTTGCGTGCAAACGACTGCATGTGTTGTGCATGTGTTGAAAAAATGAGGTTGTTGGAAAGTGGTCTCATGGAGATAGCAAGGATTAGAAAGTTCAAAATGTTTCGATTTATAGCAAGAGCATTATTATTGCCTGACATTGACACAATGGCACACTGACAGATAGATATGGGTTGATGTGTGTATGACATATCTAGAGGCAGAAACTTGGAGGGGAAGTGAGTAGATAGGCCGAGATGGACATTTATTAGTGCGCTGATGTTACTATTGAGTAGGAGTAATATGTAGTTTGGCACACCAAGCACTTTGATTTAAGCTTCGTACCTTGCGGGTTTTCCGAGTGCCGCTGTTGGTCTGTGAGGAATGCGAAACGAAATTGGCAGAGCCAACAATAAAAAGTCGAAGTTTTTCTTGTGTAGCATATATACCTAGTACCTATTAATGAATAAATGAGCGAATGGATGAATGGGTGAATGTCATATTTCAGTGGCCAAAAATGTAGTAACGTTACTGAACTACCGAACACCTCCTTTAATCAGTAGAATGTAAGCTGTATCTCCTGTGCCTCTTTTGGTCCTACCGACACGTTTTCGTGGGTGAATAGGAGGTGGAAAGCAGGAGGCAGATGGTAGAAGGGAGGGAGGAGGTAGAGCGAGATTACAACCTACCCAACAGTATACTTACTACCTAGTATGTGATAAAATATTCTCTTGATTTAATCTTAATCTTAATCTGTTGAGTGACGCTCCGCTGGCCCTCCGGGAGCCACTGCCGTGGAGGCAGAGTATTTGGCTAGGGAATATTACTGTAAATAGATACGTGTATATATACCTGGTATTTATATATATGTGTGTATACCTAGTATAAAAGGAAGTCTCCTCCTCATATCGTCTTTTGCGCCAACACTTGCCAATAACATTTGGGTCCGAGTCGGTTAGAGCTGGAATACGATATCCTCATCCTATAATCCTATACCACCTTCACCTCAAGCCTCCATAATAGAGTTAAAAACGCTGTCTTGCCCTGGATTCCGAAACATACGCCGTACAGAAGCAAAGAAGTGTGGATAGTTCGGGTTATTAGCATGAATGAACTGTGGCTGAAGCACCTAAATGGCTGATAGGGAAAACCCAAGCGGGGGGTAATGGAATGATTGTCCGGTACTTTAACTACTTTAACCTTTCTCTAGGTGCACTAGGAGCCCGAAATCTTTAGCGCTGTTTGGAAAATCCCTATGTACTTCCTACCAAACAACCCAAATCCTAGAATTGTCTTTATCCCATGAAAAAAATTACATAGCATCCATTTCTACCCATATCTGCCATCGTTAGAAATTATTTACAGGATTTTTAGTACCTACCTTTTGGCTCCGATTTAAGATTTCCTCTCTCCCAAAGTTTATATTATATTTTATGTAGTCACCCAGTCCTCGAATTTGCGACAGCTCTCAGCGCCTATCCCCGTCACACCTTGGTTGGTTATCTTTGCGAGATTGATACATTCCGGACAAAGGCCAGCGTTGCGACTTTCCAATCTCTTTGGACTCGCTCGAACTAATTTAAATATGCGCAGGCGACCATGAACCAGCGCCCTCGAAGCTCTTCTACAAGATCAAATACAAGCCATTTAGAATCAAGTTGCGCTGTGCAGGCGTCACCTCGAAAGGTACCCTCGAAAGCGGAGCTTACAGTTCCTGAAAGTCTTTTACTTCTCAACAACGTTCCAACGTACGCAGTGAGTAGTTCTGCAAGTCTTCTTATACCTACGGCCTACGGATCAGGTTCATCGTATCCTACAATTGTTGCGTCAAGCTCACCCTCGCGACCCAGAGCTCATTCTGCAGCGACCAATCTAGCACCCCCTTCTGTCTACTCGCCTGCCACTTACTCTCAACATTCTGCGCAATCCGGCCCAGATCCTTCAATGTATCAACCAGGAAGATACCCGTCGAGCGGCGACCAAAGGCAATATGGGGTCCCAATTCCACCTCCACCTCCGCATCCCATGTCCCCTCCATCTCAATCGCATGTGAATCAGCTGAACGTGAACAATATACCGCCACCGCCGCCTCGCAATCCTCCACATCTACCTCCTCCACATCTACCCGGTCCACCACCTCTACCCACAACGAGCTGGCAGCAATCTCAGCAAACTTGGCTAGTCAACAACAATAGATCATATCCTGGGCCGCCAGCAAATCCCCCTGGCACAAGCCAATACCATGCCTACAATCCCGGTCAGCATCATCAACCTGCGGTGTTATCGATAGGCCAGCCTCAGCCAAATAATGAGCAGATGTCAGCAACGTATATACCGCGTGGAGAGTCATTTGGACCTGGCGTTGGGATACCTGCTTTGGGATGGAGTAGCCAAGAGAGCTTTAAGGATAGTGCGGACTTTTCTGCCGTCTCGGATAGCTCAAGGGGGACACCATTAGATGACAGTAGTTATTATAAGGATCGATCATATCCGTCGCAGACACCCCACCGGTTTAATAATATCCATCTCCCGGAATATGATTCTCCAGGCCCCCCTACAGCAACCTTGATGAATCCACAATTGTCCTCGGCCACCAATAGAGGCTTGACAGCAACGTCAAACAATTCACACCAACATGCGGCCGGTAATAATGCGAACACACCAATTTCACCAAACGACGCGGGTTCCCAATGGTCCATGAATCGCGTTTTGTTGTGGCTGGCCAACAATCACTTTTCGAATGATTGGCAAGAAACTTTTAAAGCGTTGAATATATATGGCTCCGTGTTTCTTGAGCTAGGCAGTGTTCATGGTGGTAGAGGTAATTTCGGGATGATGCATCAGCAAGTATATCCACGGCTGGCAAAAGAGTGCTCGAGTAGTGGGACTGGCTGGGACCAAGCTAGGGAGCGCGAAGAGGGGAAGAGAATGCGGCGTTTGATCAAGGCTATTGTGACTGGGAAAAGCATAGAAGGCAGCAAGTCTTCGCAAATTCGACGGCAATCGTCTGCAGCCAATCTCATTGCAAGTGCCAGTACGGATGGCACTATGGATAACTCGCTCCATCTGAGCCGCGGAAATGGAGTCTCTTTATCTACACCGAACACAGCAAACGGCGATGATAATGGCGCTGGAAAACAGATGTTTACAAGTTCCGGACAAGTTTTGGGAACGAGAAGGTTTTCGGGAAGAAGTACCACTATGCCTATTTTGAGCAATATTAATACCGCAGAAGAGAACGATTTCAATAATAGCCGAAATGCCCATCGAAATGTTTTGAAAAACATCGATAATGAAGGCCGGCGGCATAGCCCGAGCGCCAGTAATGAATTCAACGAAGGTACTTTTAAGTCGCAGCCCCTTCGTCTAGATGGAAGCCCAAAGAGCGGTAGTCCTGCTGGGACATATGCAACGCTTCACACGCCAGTCGGGCAGAATTTGTCGGCCTCACCTCGCAGCGCCGTTTTTGGCCATCGATCGAGCAACAGTACCGATTCTATTTCTTCTAGTCAAGCAATCTACGGATCTGGGGTACCATCGGGTGCTAGCCAAGCACTCAGAGGTGGAATGGGGGGAGCCGTCGGCGAACTCAACCTTGTAAGAAACCAGGATAGTCGAAGACATGGTGTCGATGTGTCGCGCCCTTCTCCCATGGATGGCGAGCGCTCCGCAAGCTCAGAACAACCCAGTTCCGCAAAAGAATCGAAAGGTTTCCTCAGTCACTGGAGGAAGCGACGAGGAAAAGAAGATGGGTTTGCTCCATCACCAGAAGACCAGAATCTTGATTCGCCCACCAGCCCATCCCTAGGCTTTAAAGCTGCACCTTTCTTGGGTAATGGTAAGATTAGCAACTCTAGCGAAACTTCCCTGGACCGACCTTTGTCCACATTCTCGGCGTCAGAGTATGATAAATTTGCTCACAAAACCGGTTATCGGGGTGTACGAGCTACAGGAAGAAGCTATGTACTAGTAACTACAGACGGCTGGAACTTTCGCTTGTGCGATCTCACGGAAATCGACAACGCGCAGGATCTCAAGGCTACTATTTGCTCGAACTTAGGCATTCATGACTCGGAATACACACAAATTTATCTAACTGAGCTAGGTAAAATGGAGCATGAAGAAGCGCTAGATGATCATAAACTTCTGCTTTGCAAAAAGACCAAAGCTGATCAGTCTGGTAATCTCAAATTTTTTGTTAGAGGCCCGGCGAATTCCGCAATATCACTTCCTGCCTCACAGTTCACCGGCCCTGGTGTGAACTTTACTACCGAAGGGAGTGGACTTTCGCCTAGTCTACCACCAACGGCGCCTCTCGATGAAGAAGCTTATGCGCAACTCAATGGAAATAGAAGACGATCCAGCTCGTCTCCGCCTACTTCACGGCAGAACACTGTCAAAGGCGGAAGTGCACCACAAAAAGACCAATCTGTGCCCGTAACCGAAACACCAGACGCACTTAAAGAGCGTCTAATGGCGTATCGGGCTTCGCACCTTGGAGAGAGAGAGATACCAGAAGCTGATAGACAAGCATTTATAGCAATGGCATCCGCAGAACACAAAGCCGAAATGGACCGGAGGCAAAAAGAATACCTGGCCAAGAAGAAGGCGATCAAAGGTACGCCAACCACTGCGGATGGTCCTGTGGGCATTGTTGGTCGTAATGTTGATTTTGACCAACCGCGGCTGTCGCCTTTCGAAGATAAGAAGCCGGATATTCTTTTCCCCCAAAGAAAGGCCCCACCAGTCCCGGGAGAGTCAGCTACCTTGATTAAAGCCAACTCTTTGAGCAAGAAAACTGGTCAGCAAGTTCTTTTACCGTGTAGCGATGTCGATAGCGAAGGCAAACATTTATCCGGAAGTGACTCTTTGGAAGGATCTGGCACTAAACGGAAGCCAGTTCCAGCTTCGCCTATAACTCCAGGAGGTATAGGTGCTGCTCTCTTCGTTATGGGCAAGGGGTTCTCAACACTAGGCCATCCAACAAGCACTGTGGCTCCAGCCAAAAAGTCGCCTCCAATCGACGGCTCGGAGAATCATGGCAAAAATGCTATGTCGATGGTCGATCACGGGAACACTGGATCTGGTAGGAGCAGCCCTAAATCGAGTGGCACTCCGGGCAGCATTACCTGGGGCAAAGGCGATACACCATTTATTATCCCTGATTATGCTGTAGAAGAAGAAAGCTTATCGGCAAGCATTGGTACATCTTTGACAGATCCTACTACTGCTGCAATAGCTAGAATGAAGGAGGAAGAAATTCGAAGAGGCCCTTCTCGCGATATTAGTCCAAATAGTGCTCACATATCTGAACTCACAGTACCTGGAAACCGGAAATCTTATGGTCCCAACCTTGACTTCACCGAGGCAAGCGTTGTTTTTGATAAGCCTCCTCAACAAGTAGAGCAAGAAGACTCCGACTCCGACTCCGACTCTGGTTTATTTAGCATACCAATACAAAAGACGCAGAAAGCCAAGGAGAGCGTCAGTGGAGATAATACTTCCGGCATCTCCAAGCGACCAAGTTTGACTGTCAAGACCGCAAGATCCAAGAAGGGCCTTTCTGTATCATGGGGCTCACCTCAACAGGATAGCTCATCCTCATCAAGCCTTTCAAAACTTCCCGATTTTGACAATCAACGCAGAGACGAAAGCGAGCGGACCACTGAAGAAACTGAAGAGGAGAAACAGGCAAAAGTGCTCCGTAGACGATCTTTCGCGCGTACCGATACCTGGGCTCCCAGACCTCCCGAGGAGAATATCCTTAAGAATCTCGAGGACTTTTTCCCTAATCTCAATGTGGATCAACCCATCATGGACGAGGGTGTCGGTGGTTCCCCACCAGTTTCTCCTATCGCAGAGCAAGATACAGTGGAGTCAGCTACAGCTACAACGCCTTCCATGTCTTCGTTGTCAATCACTGGACCTTCTATGCTTTCTACGCCTGGCACAAGCCTTTACGGTGACGGAGACACACTCGGGTCAGACGAATCGACTCTAAAGGCACTTGAGAGATCGAGCTCAACGCAAGGTGTTGCGCATCGCAGTATTCGACGCTCTGGTGGTTTAGGCCGAATGAAGTCAATCCGTGAAGTGGCAAGAGGAGCACACGAAGCAAATAAACGTTATACCTCAGCTACGGTTGCCCCTGAAAAAGGCGACAAGACTTCAAGCACGATCCAGCGCCGAAAAAGTACTAAGATGTTTGGTGCTAACATTGTGCAAATCAAACCGCAGCGTGGTAGCCTACTCATTCCTCAGATCCCACAAGACACAATACCTAAACGACAAGCTACCTTTCGGTGGTTCAAAGGTCAGCTTATTGGAAAGGGTACTTATGGTCGTGTTTACCTTGGTATGAATGCTACAACTGGAGAGTTTTTGGCAGTCAAGCAGGTTGAAGTCAATCCTAAAGCTGCTGGAAATGATAAAGAAAAAATGCGTGAGATGGTAGCTGCGCTAGATCAAGAAATTGATACTATGCAACATCTTGATCATGCTAATATTGTGCAATATCTCGGTTGCGAGAGAGGCGAGATGTCCATCAGTATTTTCCTGGAATATATATCTGGTGGTAGTGTAGGAGGTTGTCTTCGAAAGCATGGCAAATTCGAAGAAACCGTGGTCAGCTCGTTAACTCGCCAAACTCTAGACGGATTAGCATATCTCCATCGGGAAGGTATCCTTCATCGCGATCTCAAAGCCGATAACATCTTACTCGATGTGGATGGAACGTGCAAAATTTCTGATTTTGGTATCTCAAAGAAGTCAGACAACATCTATGGTAATGATGCGTCCAATAACATGCAGGGATCCGTGTTCTGGATGGCTCCTGAGGTCGTTCGATCACAGGGCGAGGGATATTCGGCAAAGGTCGACATTTGGTCACTTGGCTGCGTTGTCCTAGAAATGTTAGGTGGGAAACGACCTTGGGCCAAGGAGGAAACTGTAGGCGCTATCTACAAACTGGGAAGTCTAAGTGAGGCGCCGCCGATTCCGGATGATGTTGCTCAGGCCATCAGCCCTGGGGCTTTAGGTTTCATGATGGACTGCTGGACTATGTATGTGTCTCCTCTTTCCCAACAATCTACATTTTAACTGACGCTATTATATAGTATTCCCAGCGAACGTCCGACAGCCGAGACCCTCCTTACCCAGCATCCCTTCTGTGAACTGGACACGCACTACAACTTCCTGGATACGGAACTTTACGCCAAGATTCGCGGCACATATTAGTTAGACAAACGGCATTTCCACAACATCCAGCCTTTACAAACTACATCTCAAGATAACTTATTATCTTGAGGATCTCAAATCAATATTAATCGGATTAGGCCGCGCTAATCTATCTATACGCCGTAAACTTCTATATTTGCATGATTTGAAACATTTTTATAAAGCAAGCGTCACGATTTTGCGGGTGATAGACTGGCCGCTGGAGAAAAGTGCTGTATTTGATACCATCTCTTTTGTTTGTATCGTTTCTTTTTAGTGCATCGGTGCATATGCGAGGGATTTACAAGGGGATTCTTGAATGGATAGATCGCTCTATCTACGGTTTATACGATTGGTCAGCATTTGAGTGATATGAAAGCAAGCGACATGGTGCGAAGGATTTTGTATATATAGTCGGTTCTCGCAAAGATGTGCTTTAAACATGATTTTCTTCTTGGGGTTGTATTTTTTAAGCAAATGGCATACGTCTAGGTATGTCGATGGTCAAGGAACAGGAGATAATATAACGAGATGCATTAGATGCAATTGGCCTGTTCTCGACCTTCATTGGGACGGCTTCATGAGTGTGGTGCATTCGTTTCTAATCGTGAGTAATTCGAGCGGCTACCTACCATACTATCGTCTGCTCTTTTTGGGACTTTCTCTCTCCACTAGTCCCTCAAATAACCCGTCTCTTTCTCTTGTAAAGTCCCTCAACTCCATTCTCAAACTCTCTAGTTCCAGTCTGGCCAAATCAATATCTTGTGGTAAACCGTGGAATGCCTTGACCTGCGTCTCCAAATCCTTGACTCTCTTTAACCACTCTTTGAATTTCTCCTCTTCGGCTTTGATAGTCTCAACAGTTACTTTCGGAGTAGATGTATTGGATGAAGATGATAGAGTAGCTATGCGCTCGCGGATTTCGGGCAATTTGCTGCTGAGGATTTTTGCTTTGCGTTGGAGGTCGACTGTTTGTTTAGGGAGGTCGTCGGGGGCTTGATAAGAGGGAGATTGGAGAGAGGCGATGAGGGTACTTAGGTTGGTCAGTTCCGTGGTGAGAGAGCGCTGGAGGGTAGCTACGCGGGAGCTGGCTTGAGAAAGTGTGTAGGATGTTGTTTGTAAGGAGAGGAGTTTGTGGCCGATGAGTTCGGGGGAGGGAGTGGATAGGTTGAAGGTCGTCGATAAGGATGCGAGGGTCTCGAGAGAGGTTTGACCTTCTGGAGTGAGGGAATCTTCCAGGGTATGTAAAAGCTCGGCATTTGCGTCGTTTTGAAGGGAGGTTTGTATGGCGGTAAGAGCCTTTTCCCGCGATCGAGCTAAGAGTTCCTGTTCCTCATCTGCAGTTTCGTTAAGTGAGGCGAGAGAGAGTAGCGCTTTGAGCGTAGAAGGATTTCGTTCGAAGGATGGAATGGCCTGACTGGCGAACTTGATCGAGAGCCAGCTATCAATATATGACCAATCTTTGGCAGCTGCGAGTTGCTGGCGGGCAACTGTGGGAGAGAAGATCGTTTCGGGCGAGAGATGGGACATGATTATTACTGAAGATCGATTCCCAGATATAAAATAGAAATGTGAATTTGGATGAGGAAGAATATCGAAACTTTTAAAAAGTTCTGTTGCACATCTGTAGCGTGGAGATGAAGATATATTATTTTTATGAAAAGTATGGAGTAAACATTGACAACAAGGTACTCATCCTGTGGACGAGGCTGAGGTACGCTAAGCAGGGATACTCGGAGGTACTGCCCAATTAAACCTAATTAAGACAAGGCTCCAGATAATTTTAACACAAAGATAATGCAAGCGCCACATCGGTTCCAGTTTAGTTTACAGCCTCTCAAAGGAATTGAGTTCCCCCCGAATTAACTCAGTCGAAAGGCCAGATAATTCTGCCGATTTCTCGAACATCTTCCACGTGTAAATTAATTTGTTCATATTGTTGTTGACTCTTCCTTCTTAAAGACTCATCATCACTCACTTCCCCTTTCTTATTTTTCCCTGACTCTTTACTCCATGCTTTGAGCCTTCTCTACTTAGATTCGTCGTAGACGTTAACCTTAACCCATCCAGTCAATATGATTGTGAAAGTAAAGTTGTCGGTCCTTGCTTTCGCAGCAACTCTCTTATCCTCAAACTCACTAGTTTCTGCTCTTTCTGCGAATGACATCCCATCGGATACCCCAATATCATCTTTACTAGCATCTGCCAATGCGCATTTGGCAAAGGGCGAAACAAATGATGCTTTAACTTATTATGATATTGCGATCGCCCGTGATCCATCAAACTATTTAAGTCATTTCCGTCGCGGAGCTGCCTACCTGTCCCTCGGTCGAATGGCCCAGGCTGCTCAGGACTTTGATAAGGTTTTGACAATCAAACCAGGCCATGAGCCGGCACTATCACAACGGGCGAAAATTAGGGCAAAGAATGGCGATTGGGAAAACGCAAAACAAGATTACCTCGCCTTGGGCGCATCTCAGGGAGCCGAAGAAGAACTCGCAAACTTAATTGAGGCCCAAGGTGCAGCTAGCTTGGCGATGGATGCGGAGAAGAGCCAGAACTGGGAAGAATGTGTGACACAGGCTGGAGCTGCAATTATGGTTGCGTCGAAGGTGGTATCACTTCGCAAAACCAGAGCCCATTGTCGTTTTGAGCGCGGGGAAGTCCAAGAAGGAATGAGTGATCTAAAGCATGTTTTACAGATGCAGCCAGGACTTACGGACCCTCATCTCCGGATTTCCACGATTAACTTTTACAACCTAGGGGAATTGGAACAGGGTATGGATCAGTTGAGGAAATGCTTACATTCAGACCCAGATTCAAAGAGCTGTAAGAAGTTGTATAGAAGAGAGAAGACCATCGACAAAAACTTGGCCCAGGCTCGGAAGTTTTTTGAAAAGCATCAATACTCGAGTGGAGTGAAACTCCTCGTCCCATCTGGGGAGGACGTTGGATTGGTTCAAGAGATTAAGGATGATCTCAAGGAGTTCCGAGAGTCTGGCATTATCCCGGAGCATGCGCCAAATCACCTTGTAACTCAAGTTGTGGAAATGGTTTGCCAGGCTTATCACGAGGTATGTTTGGAGAGTTGGCGACAAATTCTATTGTAACTAACACAACACAGACCAAGAATACCAAAAAAGCTGCTACATACTGTGACGAAGCTCTTTCACTCAACGAAAACTCTCTATATGGGCTTCTCCACAAAGCCCAGAAACACATGGAAGCGGAGAACTACGAAGCTGCAATATCCACCCTCAATACAGCAAAGGAACATCACCCTGATGCACAGCAGATTGGGGGGCTCTTACAAAAAGCTCAGGTAGAGTTAAAGCGAAGCAAAACAAAAGACTATTACAAGGTTCTAGGGGTATCCAAGGATGCTGATGAGCTTCAAATCAAGTCGGCATACAGAAGAATGGTAAAGCTAAACCATCCCGACAAGGCTCACAAGCAAGGAGTTAGCAAAGAAGAGGCCGAGAAGAAGATGGCAGCCATTAACGAAGCATATGAAGTACTGAGTGATCCTGAATTAAAGGCTCGTTTCGATCAAGGAGATGATCCGAATGATCATGAGCAACAACGAGGCCATCCGTTTCAAGGAGGTAACCCATTCGGTGGCGGTGGATTCCCTTTCCAACATAGCGGTGGACATGGTGGAGGTCAACAGTTCAACTTCAAGTTTGGTCCAGGGGGGTTCAATTTCGGTTAAGAAGTTAGTCGGATTTCAGTTGTTGGTTAAGCTTTTCAAGTTGACAATGATTCAACCATTCAGTATATCTGTAAATGATACACAATGTGGCTCGAAATATGTGCCGATTAATAGCGTTCAAGAGATTCTATTTTCCCTTCAAAGGAATCACTACCTGGAAGACCAACCAAAGAATGAGGGGTGAATTTTGCGTGATATATGTGATTGTAATGTAATGAGATGAAATGAAATGGTAAATAACCATTAATTTTGGTGAATCATGACAAGGCTCCGTTCGTCATCAGCCTTGTTGAATACCAGGCGCTAACTTTTTGCATTCCGAGTGCATCGGCATGGCATTGACTTTGGTTGCGGGTCATTACAAACTTCATAAAAGTACTCGAGCACCAACTTTCTACAAACCGTGCAACAGTGTTCATTGTCTGTGTTGATCGCGACAAACTGGAACTTAATTTACGACTTGTCTTGACTGTACTGCCCATTCTATTTCCTCGACTTTATTAATATTTTGCACATAAGAACTTCGGGATGCTCTTACGATAGCATAAATACTCACTCCTCTACGATCTCCCTTTCGGTGTCGACCAACCAATATGGATGGATTCGAGGTCGCATACACTTTAGATAATGAACAACAATTCTGGGATGGTATGTATATATAGATCTCTTGAGACTTGTGTCACTTTGGTGTTAAAAATTGCTTCTAGAAATCGATGACATCGTTTCCGCGAAATGTGCCTCGCATCAATTAATTGATAATGCATTGCGATCCTACCTACAATTCACAACCAACTTTAAAGAGGAATATCTGCAATCAGAGTTCGACGTCGCAAAATGCTTGCACAAGTTAATGCAGAGCGAACTGTTCGCGGCGAATAAGGACTACGTGAGGACGCAGATTGTCTATAGTCTTATGCAGGAGGACATACCAGCTACCCTGCATGTGATAGCGAGCTTTCTACTATTCGACGGACGTCAGAATGAAGCAACTTTCGAGATGATGAACAAGGAGGGTTGTTTCCCAAGATTATTGGAATTGGTTAAGAAAGGGAACAGCGATGATCCAACTTTGCATAGACTACTATTGGAACTTTTGTACGAGATGTCAAGGATGCAAAGAATCAGTTTCGAGGACTTAGGTCAGGTAGATGATGAGTTTGTCGCATGTCTCTTTCAAATAATTGAAGAGCTATCAGATGATGTTGATGATCCTTATCATTACCCTGTCATTCGGGTTTTGGTAAGTCCCTGCTGAAGATTTTATGCGTCGACTGCTAACAGCTTCTCTAGCTAGTCTTGAATGAACAATATATGGTTGCTTCTACGTCAACGTTAGATCCATCACATTCTCTAACAAATCGAGTTGTTAAAATTCTCAGCCACAAAGGGTCATCATATATGACCTTTGGGGAGAATATCATTCTTCTACTCAACCGCGAAACTGAAACCTCTCTACAACTTCTGATACTCAAGCTTTTATATTTATTGTTTACTACAAAGGCTACCTACGAATACTTCTACACAAATGATCTCCGCGTCCTCTTAGATGTTATAATTCGTAACCTTCTCGATCTCCCTAATGAGTTTGTTTCTCTTCGTCACACATATCTTCGAGTCCTCTACCCATTACTTGCACATACACAATTACAACAGCCACCCCACTACAAGAAAGATGAAGTAGTAAAAGTTCTAAGCATTCTTGGTGGATCAGGTAATGCACATTGGGAGCCAGCAGACGAGACCACGATACGACTCGTCGAGCGAGTAGCCAAAGTTCCCTGGCTCCGAGATGATGACATCAGCGAAGGCGAAGTAGCACGGAAACTTCTCGGTATGAGTCTTTCACCGTCACAAACTGGAAGCTCGGTAAGTGTTTCGGATGTGGCTGCTGTCACAGAAAAACGCGGTGTCCAAACACCAAGTCGGAAAGCAGGAAGTGAAAGCACCGCACATGATCACGATGCGCCAGTGATGGCAACCTCAGACGAACTTCAGAGGAAGAAACGTGCGCTGCCTCCACTTCCACCGACGGTTAGAGCAAGTAATTTGCAGAAAAAGGTACCACCAAAGACACCCCCGAGGAGGAGAACGAGACTTAAGGCTATGGTTACACTGCCACCTGAGGCGACAGAGGTTGAGTAATGGAAGGTGGAAATTCTTGCGTGCTATAGGCGAACTTGGAGTTATCGTGGGGGCATTAGTATTAGGATGGGAAGGTCTTATCTGTGTTTCTCCATGAATGCATACAGTGGCGTCGGAGCGAGGAGCGTTGGAAAAGGCATTCATCCTCATTCAAACATTGCGGTTACATGGTAGTTATCGAAAGTCTCGGAGCTACCAAGTAGGACACTTAAATTCTGTGGATATTGAGGGTCGTGTATATTCTGGGCGTAGATGGCATTCACCGGCTTTGAGCACATATTCATTACTTCATTTTGGGCTTGTCTTCTAGCTCTTCCAGACACCCACCGCGTTCTTCTATGTGATGAAAATCAATGAACAATGAATGAGTATTCATCCAAGGGCGTGTTCCCGTCCACTTTAGAGGAGGTCTTTGCCTTGCCTCGCTTATCTACTCTTTTATGAACTCGTCGCGTAAAGGAAATTGCTCGGGTTAGTACCTCTATCAGTATCTACTGGTTAGTCTATCTTGGTATCTTAACTATAGAGTTTTGTAGTCAAAAATTTCTCACAGTTTCTATTTGTCACTAGAGCTATCTACACAGTCAGCAAGCCGATTATCTCTTGATAGCCTTTCCTGATATAGATTTAGAGCTGTAACGATATTATACTGGAGGCAGCGGCTGCCTAAGGTTTCGTCTGGTTGGTAGTTGTGGGTTAAGGCTTTATCACTGGTCTTCACTTGGAAGTGAAGTCGTTACTAGATCAAGTAGAATGTAGGTAAACTAATTGATAACTAAGTTGAGCACGAAGCTCCTTAACTACGAGACTAAATGAATGTTTATATACCCTATATCATCTTTTGAGGACCCTTGGGACCCTAAGGTCCAAAAGGTCCTCAAGGTCCTCGAGGTCACGTGAATTAATGAATCGTGACAAGAGCCTTGATAGTAACCTTTTTAAATATAATTATAGAGTGATTCTTGAATAATCAGAATGGTTTCATTTTAGTCTTATAGAACTATTGATTTTACTGAATTTTTAAAATAAAAATTAGTTTTAATAAATTATATTATATTTTAATTTATATTAAAAATCGTTTATAAATAAATGTAAAAAATTTAAATTGTGTCCTAACAAAGCCACCCCCTAAGAATCTAGAATCAGCTATCTCTAAAAGAATAAAATTTCTCTGACAGCAGATGCTTTCTGTTACAACGGCTTCTGGCCTCGTATCATATGACCACATACGAAGTCATGTGATCCCTTCTGTTACGTGACGGTTGTTACCCACTAGTGGCTCACGTGCACTAGCCCTGTATATAAAGACCTTCTTACTTAGAATCTTCTTAGTTCTTTAGTTTTAGATTCTAAGTAATTGAATTGACTCCGTTTACGACTTTTCCGTCACACCTTCGATCCCTTCGATAAAGGGATTGTTGGGTTTCTTGAGACTAGAAAGAGCATCAGATTGAATTGATTGATTCTCTAGCTAAGCAGTTAAGCTGCGAGCATATATTCAAAAAATGAAGGAATAGGTTGGGTATTCGGCCTTCGGAATTAAAGTGCTTTGAAATCAAAATATTGAAAGCAAACAAACAGTATACCAAAAAGGAAAGAATGAATTAAAAGTTGAGTTTTGTTTGCTCGTTATATGCATATGCTGCCAAGATCCCAGGAGGTCAACAGGGATCGAAGGGACCGAAGGAACGATAGGCATGAAAGTCTATATAATCAAGATGGATTTCCTTTGTATAGAGCTTCGTGCTCAAGATCAATCATTTAGTATACTCTACTATTAGTTACGAATTGCATTATTGTCATTACTTTAAGTCCCTGCTTGACGCCTAGTTATAAACCACCTCGAGAGCCTAGAGCACTTCCACGTGATCTAGACGGCAAACCTCGTAACACTTTCTAATAGATTAAATATACTTGGTTTCTTAACTCTCTAAATATCTCTACTGGATATTGTTAGGAAAATTTGAATATTAAACTTCGAAAGACTTGTCTAAACAAAACTATTCCCCTTACAAGAGTCGCTTAGAGTAGGTAGTGGAACCTATCTTTTAAAATAATGATTTACATGATACATCACGAATTCGAAGGATTATATAAGCTGATTACCTTGATTGGTCAAATTCATTCCATTAAGCAAACGTGTCCATGGATCCTAGGGGAAACCGGATTTTATTGGTCGAATTTTCGAACCGGTATAACCTAGCTCTACTATAGTTTGAGTTGGTTAGGGTTATCAAAAACCTTAAGTCTTGAATAAACTCTCTAAGGAAAGAGTTATTAGTGGTTGTGATAATGACTAGTCGAAGCGGATTATCGGTGATTGAACACCACGGCTCATTCCCCGCAACCCAGTGAATTAATGTGAATTAGTGTGAATCATATGGCAAAATTTGAATAATGTTGAATAATGTGGCAGAATATGGCAAAAAATGTATTCCACCCTCTATAAATATGCTGTTTTGATCCCACTCCATTCCATTCCAATACAATACAATTCATTTGGTTTACATTAAGCCAACCAAAGCCACAAACTTTGATATACATACAGTTCACCAAGTACCATACGAATAAACCACTACAGCATAACCTCAAATTGCGCCAAACCTCAGATGACATCTAAACCCATCTTTAACGCCGTTGACGATGCCTTCCTATCGGAACGGAATCTTGTGAAGCCAGCAGTAAATAGAAGGAGCTAATTGCATCCTCTTTCTCGCACTCCGAGCCGCTCTCCTCCTTCGAATCCGGGGGATCAGAAGCTCAGCAGTAGATGATAGAGTCTATACCTTGATACCGAAATTCCTTGACAACAAGGAAACACTGGAATGGCTCGGCTGGACCTCCCAGAAAGCTGTTGAAATATGGGCACGATGGACAACAATCAATACAGTCGAAGAAGGCCGCGGTACTATCTTTGAAGTAGAATTTCTCGAACATGCTACCGGCCACATTCCCTATAACGAGCTCGGAGACAGTGCAGACGACTGGGAAGAACACATGAAGAATTGGGGCGTTGGTTCAGAACTCATCAACGCTATTATGGATGCCGAGTTTTTGAATGTGAGGTTGACAGAGTCGGCTCATCATTAGGTTAGAGACACAATGGAGATCCGATATCTAAGTTTGGAGCGGATGATGAGGGATAGCGACTCGAGAGCGGAGAATAGAGACGCCCTCAACACTAGTGTCGCAACCGACACGGCCTCAAGAACATCCAATGTCCCAGGTCACCTAGCCTTGTACAAGGTCATCTCCACAGACCGAGTAAGAAGGGATAAAGAGGGCAATATTGAAATTGGCTCTCTAGTGAATGGGACTCCGAGCGACTTCCGAGGCTTTGGAGGCACAATGCTTTACTTTGCGCCAGATCTCAAGATTGCGGAGCATTATCGTAACTATATCAAACGCCGAGCACCAACTTCACAAGCGTTGATAATCCGATTGAGTCTCTCAAATGCCTTCATAGAGAAGCTTCCACCGCATATAATCGAGTTCGGTGACTTGTGGAGACAGGTTATCCACACCTGTCGTTCTGGTCTTAATTTGAAGGATAACTTGAAGTATATTCATAGACTGCCTCTCATCATAACTCCGATAGCCCATTCACCAAATATAGCTATTGCAATGCTTCAAGATTGGCAGCAGGTTGTGATTGGACATGTTTTGCGTCTTGAAGGGCAATAAAGCACGGCGGTGCAATACATTTTTCAGGAGTACGATACCGTAGAGCAAATCGAAGAAGTATGCGAGCTGAAAGTGGTGGCTTAATCATGGTTTCGATCTCCATGTTCGGCGGGAAATTCATATCATCAGCTCCGCAGAGTTGATGCACTGTCTTCAACGACGGGACAAAACAACCTCGTTCTGGTACGTGGAGGACCGATTCACAGCCGAGCTTAGCGGCCTGGGCAGAGATGCATTGAGAGAACTGGTTACTGATTCAGAGTCAGCGTCTGAGAAATCAAGTCTCCTAATAGATAGGCTGCAAGCCACACGGCGGGCGCTCTCCCCCCTTTGGTGGATTTGATGGCATGATCCGCATATTCTCTGATCCAGCGCTTCTTGAAGAGGTTCGGAACTTGGCTCGAGCAATGACGACTACCGAACAATTGCCTCAAATAGATATTTTTCAAAGCAAGATTAATCTTCGCAGATTGAAAGATGCGCCAATACTCCTGTATGCTCAACAAGAAGCCTTACGATTCCGAGCTACGGTACCAGGACCACGTATGGTCATGGAAGATATGATCGTTGGGGACAACCAGTATTTACTTAAGAAGGGCTCGATTGTTATCATAGCCAGCAAAGCATTACGTTTTGATGAGAAGACATAGGGAGAAAATGCCGATTCATTTCGTGCAGGTTGCTTTTGTGGCAAGGTTCCTGGACATGCCTTTCGAAGTTTTGGCAGAGGGGTAAATTTATGTCCTGGAAGAGATTTCGCTATGGCAGAGGTAGCAGCGCTCGTGGCAATGCTAGTAATGAGGTTCGACGTAATACCAGTGGGGAAGACCTGGGTTGAACCCGGTCAGGATCTCAACAACATGTCCGTTCAGATGACTGCTCCACCCGAAAGGAAGGTCATGGTCAATATAGTAACAAGGGAAAATTTAAGTTAGGAGAAATGGTGTTTTGAATGACCGGGGAAGTTTCCAGCCGGAGGAGGGACTATAAGATCTTTATTATTATTATACGGCAGATTGATTGGTTGATATAAGCCCAGATGGCTCTTGAGTAGGGGTAGCCCAAATGATATAAGGGACCCGGAGCACCAATTGCCAACGATGTTAGTTCCAAAATCCAAAATTGAACATTGAAGTTGATTATCCAAATCGGTCTATTGTATTGACACTTGATTATCCAAATCAAATCAGAACATTAATAGTTTATTGCTTTGCGGTAGCAACGTTAGAATTATTGATATGAAGTTTTTATTACTATTATTATAATAGAATTTTTGTGCCATTCTAGTCGTGAGTTGCTGCTGTTGTAACATGAAATATTTACTCTCCTATGCTTCTTTGGAGAAGACATGTGAGCACCCACAAATATGGTAATGTGACACGATGGAAGTTTACTAATACACCAAAGATATATCACGCAACAAATACCATCATTTGGAAGAACACTAGAAGCTCTCTAACGGTAGTTAGCGCATACCTCCAAATTTACCTCCTCTTTTTATGAAGAGCGCTGAAGAAAAGCGGAATGCTGCCTCGTAGCATTATACAGGAACCTTGTCCGGTACTAGTCGCTGCATCAAGAAAGTCACCCACCGCAACAGACAGGAGCCGATCGCTCCCAGCCGATGAAACTAGAGATTGGACGGTCTCCCGAGCTAGAGTGTACTGTAGATACACACATCCAAAGCCAGAAGCCGAAAGCAGCCTTCACACAGTTTGTTTCAGGGAGAATCGTAATGGAATATGAGTTTATGAGACAAAAGCGAAAAGAAAGGTGTGATTGTAAGTGAGGAGATGTGATGCTATAAGTGAAAGAAGACCTACTAGGAATCCAAAGTACCAGGGCGCAACCGTATGTACCGATGAGAGGTGCACCCTAATATTATGGATAAGTGGAAAAGGAGCAGGATCATATATCTCTACAACGAAGATAATAGTATTGAGAAATAATGATGTATAATTTAAAATCAATTTTGCTTCGCATTTATACCTTACATGCCTATTTAGATCTCGTGGAGGAAGTGTGTAGCACCATGGAACGATTGATGGCCACCACGACTTATAACACCACTTTGATAACGATGGTGATGGCAGCACCATCAGCAACCAGCCCATTCTCGCAATTGCACCTCCCTTCATGCAAGTTTCCATCTGACCTGAGTCTTCTACTTCCCCCGCAAGCAGGGTGGACAGGCTAATACTGTCAAGGAGAAATGCATATACCCGCTGACCTGAACGCTTAACGACAGTCTCAAATTCAGCGGAAATTCAGCGGAAGCACCTCTTGCACTTTAGCCCTCTCACAGATCTCAATCCAATTATGTTCTCGGCATCAACTCCTCCCTTCCCACATTTAAGCGACACTTGGGATTTCGTCTGTGTAAAAGGAGATTTTTAACGATTCAGCTTGGCGGGCTTTCCTGATTTCAGACACAATTTCTTGAAAGTGACTCAAATTTACACAGAGTTGTTAGCTACCTGCTCCAACGCTGTTGCTGCAGGTTATGGATTCGAGTGGCAGACTGGAACCTCAAAGTTACCCCACGCCACTTCGTCATTTGGTAATGACCATGTTCATTTATGGCTGTAAGAGAGGTCCTCTAAGCTCTTTCCTCGCGCTTGGCAATTGCTTCTCATGGTACCATAGCGCCAAAAACCATGACACCGTGCTCGACTTCGAGAACAAAGCGATGGCAGCTATGAGAGACGATAATGTTGAGGGAGACGGGGATGATTATGCAAATTGCTGTTGAACGACGACATCGTGGAGAAGAAAGGCTAGGAAGTCGAAATCATTGAAGCGGAAATGGGATACGCAAGGTATTTTGTCACACGGCAACTGTTGTGATGCCCTAGCCAAGGCTCTGATCAATAACAGACGACCATGACACTATTATTAATCATGGAATTGAGGTTGTACACTCCGAGGTCAAACCGTTGAGATTGACTTGGACCATCTTCAAATTCTTTTCCGTGGGTCAAATGGTGGGTAGCTTGTAAGGATGACACAGACCCAAATTATTGGAATCAAATTATGGTTCTTTTTAGAATTCGATATCCTTTCCATCTTCGAACGAGTTGATGCTGATCCTAGAAGAATACTAGGTAATTAAATTATGGTTCTTTTTAGAATTCCATATCCCTTTCCTCCTCCGAACCAATCCTGATCCCAGAAGAAGAATTAGCGAAATCATGTAACATTAGCGAAAAGGTTATGAAAAGGACTGAAAAAAGAAAGAAAACCTTTTCAAAATTTGGTAGACCTGTCTTAATATTCTTACTACCTCGTCGGTTCCTCCCTGGACATACTGATATATTGAGACTTTGTCTTGGCTTTGTCTCACATGTCTTAAACGGTACCTTTCTCAAGCTTCTTTAAGCTTTTCCCCGTGACTTCGATCTCCTTGAGGAAGAAGCAGGAAGAAGCTGGAACAGGCTTGATGATCGAGTCATTTTGCGGGGAACAGGATAAGTGATGGGATCCCAACGGGAGATCATCGTGCTAGACTCAATCAAGTAGGAGACACCCATGATCGTAAATTGGTATGGGGCAAGTGTACAGTAGTGGGTGATTTTTTCACGGTGGGTCTTGCTGTTTCCTATTAAAGGGCCTGGTACCTAGTACCCAGTAAGTAGGGAGTCAGTAGCTAGGATTCGGGACTCGGAGGTATGCAGATTTAAATTTGAAAAAGCATCGTTGAGATCCATATGTAAAATTACCACCTACCTACAGAGATACATACATACTTGCCTAGTATTTTTAGAGCACGTGAAACACGAAAGATATTCCTAGCTATGCACGGAGAAGCACATGTGAATATGCATGTGGCACGTGGCTAGATAAGGAGAGAAGGGTTGGTGGTTGTACAGAGGAGAAGCGTCAAATAGCCTAACCTAGATGATTATAGAAGATGATGCACAGTACATAGGGACCTAGTGATGCACAAGTACGGAGTAGCAATGATGAGCTCTTGGCTAATTCCCCATTTCTCCCTGATGATCAAGCTTAGTCATCAACAATGTCACCAATCAATTTCAACTGTGAAATATACTCAAGTATCACGGTATCATCAGGAGGTTGTTATTTCAAATACATAGCACCGACGAATAAAATAGTGAGGGAGGTGATCTTCACATCAAGTTGGAACGGTTCACCTGATTCGTCAATATCCAATATTGAAATTATCTTTTCAGGCCAAAAACAAGATTCCCTTTTCATTTTCCCCATCTCGGATCTAAACGTTTGTCCCATTCATTGGTGGGTCGTTTGTAGAATTGAGATTTGCGTTTTCAGTAGGGACTTTTGGCCTCACTAGTCCAGTTTAAGGTTTTCTCCTTTCCGCTTTTGTTTTTGCTATTTTGTTTTGTTTTCTTTTGTTCCTTCTTCATCCATCGATCCATTCATTCATACCCGACTCGACCCCTCCACCATTTAAAATCCCCCGGTTCTATAAAAGTGGGGTAAATTATCCACGTCATGGGGAAAGTTCTCATTACGAATCCTTGGAATCTTGAAATGCTGGAATCCTGGAATCTGGTCTACTATCATAATGTAAATCATTGTATCACCCATGAAACGAAGATTAAATTTTCACATTTACTTTTACCGTACTCGTATCTATGAATGAATGGATGGTTGGATGGATAGATAGATTGGTATGAATGAATGAACTTCCAAGTAGAGACATTTCAGATTGGTGAATGCTTAATTTGTGTACCAGATACCTATAGGCTATGAAGCTATTGATCTTGATCAGATCTTGATTTACCAGGTATAGTAATCCATCCATCCACATCACCTAGTAGGCTAGCACCTCCCCTCCTAATATCTTTCCTCGGGCAGTATTTTACAAAACACCTCTAGAAGTAAGCATACCATACCATACTATACTTATTAGGTACACTATATTGATCTTTTATATTCATTGACACTTCGGTGCAGAAAGCGTCATAGAGTTATCATTTCTCTTTATTCGATTTGCCTCACAAAGCAAACACATACCTACATAATACACACACACACACACACACACACACACAGACTCACACACATACATATATACATACCTACATAATCCCTGGTACATACAGAAAAGTCATCGGTAAAACCCCCTCATCCCCCCCATGAACGAGTCTCCTGCTTGTCATACCTACATTACATACTAGTCATTCCTCCCCCTCCCTTTCTAGCGTAACTCGCAAATTATCAATTATCACAGACTCACAGTATCATTCATTCATTCATCCATCCATCTATCCGCCCCGCATCCGTAACTTGGAGGGTTACGAAACATACTGTACTATATGTACTATATTTAATTACTTACACGAACCTTACCTATATTATCATTTTTTTCTCACACCCGGAGAGTCATTTATTTTATTTACCTTACCCTACCCTACCTTACCTACCTACTAGGTATTCTCAAGATCATCTCAAAGTTCCTGCTTCTTTATTGTATTATCGATCCATTGCTGTGTCTAATGTCTTGGTCCCTTTTTAGCACGCAACCCAGTTTAGTTTGAGCCGCTACGTCAACAATCAACCCACCATCAACTTCCCTTTCTCCCGGATTTGAACCTAACTTTATTAATTGTCATGTCGACTGTTAGCACCAATTCCGCAATACCTGCCCCTTCGCAATCACATACAGATCGAGGATACGGCGCTGCAAGTACCCCACGAGCTCGTCCACAGTCTCAATTCGTGAATGGAGGCCCTGTAGTGACGGATTACGCCACAAACGACCTTGAGCCTCCTGCAAATAGCCAGAACTCACACGGAAGATTCAACGAGGAGTGGGACGCAAGTCAACGAGGAAGCTCAATAGTAGACGGCAATATGCATCGATCACATTCAGTTATGTCGCAAGGCGATACCTTGATTCCTTCAAGAGGCGGAACCCTCAAAAAGAAGACTTCTTTAAAGAGAAGCAGTAGCAAACGCAGCTCGCGAGCTGGAAGTGTTCGCAGTTTGGTCGTTCATCCGCAGGGTGACATCGATGAGTTTCACAGTGCATTTTATTCTCCCGTTCCTACCAGCGGAAATCCGACGGATATTTTGGCAAACAGATTTCAAGGTATCTACCGACAATTTCTTGACGTCGATCACAATATGCTAATTATCATTTCTAACTGCAGCTTGGCGTAAAGTCCTCAAGGATCTTATTCTCTATTTCAAAGAAATCCAAAGTCAGTACGAGCACAGATCGAAGAGTCTTTCAAAGGTCTCGAATGTTATCAACAACACGACGGCACCGTCTGTCTTTTTACCAACTGGTGGGATTGATGATGCCCTCCAAATCCTTCGCAACTATCACAAGTCCGCAATCGCAGAGGCAAATAAGTCCAGGGACATTGAACAAGATGTCATTCTTGCTTTGACAGGCTTGCGCAGCGATTTACAACAGAAGATCAAGGAGATCAAGGGTTTATCTGGTGACTTTAAAAATTCGGTTGATAAGGAGATGGAAGCTACTCGAAAAGCTGTGACCGCATTACAAGAGGGTTTGGGTCAAGCGGATGTTAATCCTTCTCAAATGACGGGCAAGCATGATCCATACTTGCTCAGACTTGCTGTGGACCGTCAGGTCGAGAAGCAGATTGACGAAGAGAATTACTTGCACCAGGTATGTTTCGTATATGTGCACGGTTACTCGGCTCTAATATTCCTAGGCATATCTCAACTTGGAAGCGTCGGGGCGTGAGCTCGAAGCCATTGTCGTCGGCGAGATTCAAAAATCTTACAACGCCTTGGCAGGCATCCTGAAGCGAGAGGCAGATACTGCTTATGCCGCCGTGGATGAACTACGCACGGGTCCTATTGCCATGCCAAAAGATCATGAGTGGACTGCATTTGTCGAAAATGATGAGTTTTTCGTTGACCCAAAGATCCCTGTAAGAACACCAGAAATTATAAGATATCCTGGCCAGGATAACGAGCTCGCTGGGTGCATCAGAGAGGGTCTCCTAGAGAGAAAGTCCAAGTTCCTAAAAGTAATTCCTTCCAATTACAAGCATGTGACACCCTGCTAATTTCAATGTAGTCTTACACGTGAGCGATTAAGTAAAAGTGATAATCTATAGTTATGTACTAATTTTGATTCTAGTCCCGGCTGGTACGTCCTTTCTCCTACTCATCTACATGAGTTCCGTTCTGCGGATAAACTTCAGGCGCCCATCATGTCTCTCTACCTCCCTGAGCAAAAACTTGGCTCTCATTCAAACGAGGGAGGATCCTCCAACAAGTTCATACTCAAAGGTCGCCAAACCGGGGCACTACACCGTGGACACTCTTGGGTATTTAGAGCAGAGACACGTGATACCCTACTTGCTTGGTACGAAGACATCAAGACTTTGACGGAAAAGTCCCCACAAGAACGTAATGCGTTTGTGCGTCAGCATGCGCGCAGCGTTAGTGGTACATCTCAACGAGCTAGTTCCATCAGCAGCGACGGAGTCATGGACGAGGAGGACGAAGAACCGTTTTCAGCACATACGTCAGCCATTATAGGCACTCAAGGACTCAAACAAGAACAGAAGCGTCCTGAACCAGGTGGGAGATTTCCCTCAGATCTACAAGTCAATGCGGCGCGTGGCTTACAGGCTCCTCTCTCGCCTTCTAGCGGCAGTTCCAATTTTGGAGGTGAAGCAGATGATGCAGTAACCACTGCTGCAGCTCTGCCCGCAAGTGGTGTTAGCCATAATTATGGAGAGGACCCTAATCCCGCGTCGCCGACACACGCACAGATGATAAATCAAGCTGCTAAAGAAGATGGTGTGAATCCTTATACTTACGAACCCATTCAGAATATGAACATTACGCGTAATAATCAACACGAGTTACCTACCACGGTCGCAGCCGCCGGCCTAGGCGGCGCCGCTTTAGGCATTGCAGGTGCAGCCGCATATAACGATCGCGAAACCCAAAAACAACGTGAGCAAGCAGCCATGGAAGCAACCGTCATAGCCGCACCTGACGCGGATCAACTTCGAGAACAGGCAGATAAAGAAGCAACTATGATTGCAGCGCCCGACGACAATACATACGAAGGCAAAGCACAACAACAAGCAGACTTGGAAGCGATGGCCATGGCCGCTCCCGATATGAACATGTCTGGCGGACGTAGCCTCGGTGATAGTAGCGCAGCCCCTTGGTTTAACGAAGCACAGGAGACGGCAGCTTTAACAAATGCCACAACTACTACTGAACCACGGTCAGTGGAGACACTCCTCGATCCCCTTGCCAAAGATCTCGGACGCCCGACTTTAGCTGCTGGACAAAATCATCAGAGTGTCCAGAGTATCAGTCAATTACATGTGCCTGGAGAATTTCCCAGGCCTAGAAAAGAGGCAGAAAGTTCTTTGAGTAGTGAAGCCATATAGAATGTTCCTTTTTTTCTCCCCTAAATTGGTTCTTCCTTTTCCATTTTGGTAGGATAGGATTGAGTCTCAATGGAGACAAAAGGATTCCAAAAAAAAAAAAAAAAAAAAAAAAAAAAAAGAAAAATTTGTGCGTGTATGCTGGCGGAATAGCAGGTTCTGTAGTGATTGGTATGGTATATGGAACGGGATGGCATGGAATTGGATGGATAAAAGGAAAAGAGGAAATAGCGATGAGACTTGGGAAAGGGTTTGATGTGGTATGGTACGGTATGGCATGGACGGATGGATGGATGGAGGTGGATGGTAAAATTCCCATACTGCCTTTGCTTGAGGAGATTGAGATGGAATGCAATGCAATGAAATGAAATGATTTCCTGGATAGAATTTACTATTGGGCTACCTAGAGATTGCCGATTAGATATATCCTGAATATGAAAGATATTAGTTTATATTTATGAATGCGTGTGCTGCCGATGTTGTAAATTTGATTGGGCAGGGATGGTATTCATGGGGAGGAGGGGGTGGTTATGGGAAAAGATTATGCCTTTCACCACCTTTAATCATATTCTTCATATTTATTCAAAAGTCAATATACAATATACAAATCTAATCTGATTCCTAACTATCTTTATATAGATATGATATATATAGCCTAACACTTACATCACTACTCATTTATTTTCTTTTATTTGTTTCATTCTGAAGAGATGAGAGTACTCGAGTAGAGATTGGATAATAGCTGTATTATATTTTATATTCTTGTTCTTGCTGAGCTTAGGGCATACCTTGCAAGATAGATATATCAATATGGGATGGGAGGAGGAATTTTGGGGAAAGTCTTGTGGGATTTGGTTTAATATTTTGAGAGTTTGTGATTATTTCATCTCCTGTATCCTATATCGGTGTCTCATATCTTCATTTCTATCTTTCCCCCCTTGCTTATTGGTTCTTCAATGATATATATCTACATTCATTTTCCGTGCCTGACATCTTGATACAAAATAATAGCTCCCCAAACCTTTTCAATCCGTAACCACCAGTCATATTCCCTGGTACACTTAATACAGTCCGCAATCCATGAACTGTGTTCTGTCTCTCTTCCTACTTGAGCATAATGCTTTGTAGCTCAGCATAGTATTGCGGAGTAAAGCAAAGCAAAGCTATAAGCTCCAACCATAACCAAACATGTCTCCAAAAGGCAAGGCACATAAAGTACAAAAACTCATGAAAAGTACCTAGTTAAAGTACCTACATAGTAAATCATCCTAACGGTAATATTTACCTTTTTTCCTCTAGCCGATCGTAATATTGATATTGATATTGAGATCTTAAATACGCACAAATCAAATGTTTCCCCATTTCCTTTTCGTAACCTATAACGGAGAAGCTGAATATGGTTTCTCTTCCTTAGAGAATGAGGATGTAGTTAGGTATAGTATCAAATATTTTACTAGGTGCTGTGCTGTAATTACTGTACCTTTTGGAATAATAATGTGTGATTCGATGACCAGATATTTAAAAGGAAGTGCATGCACGGTAATGAATAAATAAAGGAAGAGAGAAGATAAAATAGAAAGAATAGGATATCAAGTCTGAATGAAGGTAGAGATGAATGAGTTCCTAATAATATATCGAGAAACCCGCATAAATGGTACAAAAATTACACTCAAAAGGGTTTCATTCTTAATCCTAGGTCTGTTTATTTAAATGCACATGTATTGAGCGAAATAGTCCTTTCCAACTTAATTGCTCTTTCCAGGATATATGTGGTGAGCGCAAAGTTTATCAAAAACCATGAGGATATCTTGACAAATTGTCCATAGATGATTCAACTCAAATGGTTTACTTGAAGAACCTCCTTATGTACAGCGAGAACCAACTATAAGTGAGCCAGTAAATCCTTCAACGCAGACATCAGATTTCTCTTCATCCATCGCCATACCTGCAATTATAAACTCCCTCTTATTTGAGGAGCCGGTCATCACAAATTGAAATGACACAATGTCGCTGTAATATTCTTTTCGTTCTACTCATCTCACATGACGCTAGATCTAGGATGCTTGTAGCAAAGAAAACACAATGCATCAAATGCTCTTCTTTATGTAGTAGTCATGATGCTTCCCCAAACCCCAGATTCTTACATCATCATCTTCGTATTTGTTAAATTCATCTCATCTCATCAAAACTCTAAACTCCATTCCACCAGAGATCTCACAATCTAAGCAGCAGGTGCAGCAGGTGCCACAGCTGCCGCTGGCTCGGCAGCCTTTGCTTCACCAGGGAACGGATTATCCGATCTTCGCTCATCACGAAGTGCCGTGAGCTTCTCAATCGCTTCTTGCAATGAAACAGGCTTTCCTCTATCTTGACTCGATGTATCGTCACGGTTCCTAACATTAACTTCGCGACCGTTCATTTCCGTATCCCCGACAACTTTTGACAGCGTTAGTATAAATTTGTGAATATTGAAAGAAAACGTGGCTGCTTACCGAATATAAAATTGTATTGTGCCAATTGGCCTGTACGGATCTTCTTTTGCAGGGTGTTGCCACTGAGGTCAACATCAATGAACATTTGTTGTTTGTGGAAGATGGATTGAACTTCTTTAGCATATTCAAAGTAGCCAACACCGACTGGGATAACGAGGATTTGTCGAGGACTCAACCAGAAAGGCCATTTACCTGCGAAATGCTCAATCAAGATGGCCGTGAAACGCTCGATACTACCTGCCATCGCTCGGTGAATCATGACTGGTCTGGCGCATCCAGGAGTAAGTGGTTTATATACTCTCTCCTTTGGAACATTTGGATCTTCTGGTTCGGTATCCTTTTTTGGTTTGACAACGGGCTCCTTGACGGCCGCCTCTTCCTTCTTGGTTGGCACATCACCAGTGTTGTATTCAAGTCCAAAGTTTTGAGGCAGTTGGAAATCAAGTTGGATTGTAGCGCATTGCCATTCTCTCTTCAGACAATCACAGATAGTGATATCAATCTTTGGACCATAGAAAGCACCATCACCTTCATTAAGTTCCCACGGGACTCCGCCATCACTTGACGCAAATTCGTCTAAGGCAGATCGGAGTTTATCCTCTGCCATATCCCAAGTCTCAATTTTACCCAAAAACTTCTCTGGGCGGGTAGAAAGCTTCAGCTTGAATGTGAAACCCAAAAGGCCGTAGATAGCCCTGAGGAAGTCGAACAAGCCGGTAATCTCATCCTTGATCTGGTCTTCCCTACAGAAGATGTGGGCGTCGTCTTGCTGGAATCTTCTTACTCTTGTCAAACCAGTCAATGCACCCGAAGCTTCGTTACGATGCAGCACACCAAAGTCTGCAACTCGCCATGGCAACTCCCTATGACTACGTTCACGGTGTCCAAACATTAAGCAATGGCCAGGGCAGTTCATGGGCTTCAAAGCAAAAACATCCTTCTCGACCGGGAACGTGAACATGTCATCCTTGTAGTATGCCCAATGACCAGAGGTCTTCCAGAGTTCAGAGTTGTACATATTTGGCGTAATGACTTCGTTGTAGCCACGTTTCCAGTACTCCTCTCTCAAGAATGACTGGATAGTGTTATAGATACGAGCACCATGTGGCAACCACATTGCAGACCCAGGAGATAATTCGTGGAAGAAGAACAGTTCTTGATCCTTACCAAGTTTTCTGTGATCACGCTTTGCAGCCTCCTCCAAAAACTTCTTGTGCTCGGCCATTTGCTTCTTATCTGGGAATGATACACCATAAATTCTCTGCAGAGAGTCGTTGTCTTTATTTCCTAGGAAGTATGATGCTGAATTCTTCATGATAGCAAATGTCTCGATCCTGCCGGTATTAGGAACGTGAGGGCCTCGACACAAATCGATCAGAGGTCCATTCCGGTAGACAGTGGTGTTAGTTCCGTCCGCAATCTTGTCCTTAATGATATGCTGCTTGTACTTGTTGTCCTTGAACATCTCCAAAAGATCGTCTTTGGAAAGAACCAATCGCTCGAACTTCTGCTTCTCCTTTACAATTTGGCCGACCAATTTCTCCAATGGCTGCCAGTCTGCGTCGGTAACTGTTCCTTGGTTGGGTAGACCCATCTCATAATAGAAACCATTGTCAATAGGAGGCCCGATACACAAACTGCAACCGAACCGTCTTTCTGAAGCTTCACCCAATATATGAGCGCTAGAATGCCAGAAGACTCGTCTACCCTCATCATTTTCAAAAGGAAGCAACTCAAGTTTGCAATCATTTTCCAAAGGTCTCTCCAAATCCCATAGTTGTTCAGAGTCTCCATTCAATTTGGCAACAACAGTACGCTTAAGAAGACTCTTCGAAATTCCCTCTGCGATTTGCGCGGGGGTAGTCTCCCAAGCGATACCTTCCTTAATGGATCCATCGGCAAGAGTAATGGTAATAGGCACTCTTGGTTTCGCGGCAATTTCAGCATCGTATTTGGCCTTCAACTTGTCGAAAACTGCTATGCGATGAGCAATAAATTCTGGCGCTGGGTTGAGTTCCAAAGGTCCGGAATCTGCCCCACTATCCCCTCCCTTTTCCTTCTTGGGCTTTGGTGCTTTAGGTGCTTTAGGTTTCTTCTCTCCAATGGCAACATTTTTAACACCCTCTGCCACCTTCTCGACTGCCTCCTTTGCCTGTTCCATGGTGTTTGGAGGGGGTTTTTTATCCGATTCTGTTTCTGCCGTACTTGGAAAAATCAAGTACAACTAGACGGTTGTCCTTTTTAATAAATTTATGACTCAAACCATCGTTTGAAACGTTTGCCCGCTCTTCACTTGAGCCGTGCACTCTGTGGATGACTAAGGTGAGTCCAGCCAATCAAAATCGTCCTCAGCTGTGCTCCACGCTACCCAGTTTTCGCTTGGAATAATTTTTTGGAGAGCTTTAATTTTTTGTACCTCTCAACGATAACGCCAAAAACACCCTCGAATAATCGACAACAGCAAACAATGTCTTTCCGAGGTGGATCAAGAGGCGGTCGCGGTACCGGTGCCAATGCTGGTTTCAGCGGTGGTAGAGGAGGATTCGGTGGTCGTGGTGGAGGTGCGTTGATGCGAATTTGCGAATTTGAGATCAATTGTGCGCAATTACTAACGCTTCACAATAGGCCGCGGCGGTTTCCAGCAAAGAGACAACGGCCCTCCAGCAGATGTCTTTGGTAAAATAGCCTCAATTAACATTTTCAGAGCCAATTGCTAATATTGGAATAGCTATGGGATCTTTCCTCCATGCCAGTGAAGGAGAAATTGTCTGTGAATCTATCAATACTAAAATTCCTTATTTCAATGCGCCAATCTATCTAGAGAACAAGGTAAAAATCTCTAATCCCCAAAACGTTATGGAAGACATAGGCTAACAATCGAATTGATAGACTTCAATCGGTAAAGTTGACGAAATTCTCGGTCCCATCAACCAAGTTTATTTCACCATCAAGCCCACCGAAGGTATCCAAGCTACTTCATTCAAGACTGGCGACAAATTCTACATCGGAGGCGACAAACTTCTTCCATTAGAGAAATTCCTTCCAAAGCCAAAGCCACCTCCAGGAGCACCAAAACCAAAGAGAGCCGGTGGTGCCAGAGGAGGTAGAGGAGGACCAATGAGGGGTGGACGAGGTGGCGGAAGAGGCGCGCCACGCGGAGGAAGAGGTGGTAGTGGAGGTTTCTCCAGAGGTGGAGGCGGCGGTGGCTTCTCTAGAGGTGGTGGTGGTTTCACTCCTCGAGGTGGCGCGAGAGGTGGTTCGAGAGGAGGATTTTCCCGAGGTGGCCGTTAAATCGTAGGCTAAAGAGCTGAAGTAGACAAATCTGGGTATATGGCGTTTTTAAGGGTCTGTTTGTAGGTACGGCTTGGGCTGCTGCGAACTTCTGTGTAAAACTTGTATTTTCTTAGTCAATAGTCGGTGGGACTATTGGAAAAATCCCCAAGCTTCGGGCAACATATTACACATGTTTCACCAAAGAGAATCTACTCTGAATTGAGATCAAGCAGCCACCGAGGAATAATGGACCGAAGAGCTTTCCATACGCACTGAATTATCCGTAAATCTAGCCTTTATCCAGTTTTCATCTGGGTAGGATCCAACACCTTAGTTTCACATACATAAATGCAAGTGTTACCCAATCCGCCAGCCAGATTGCAAAACGAAAGCTTAAGGAGGCTACATTCCGAGCCCCGGTAGTATCGATTCATTATTCTGCGCCTGAATTGAAGGATTAGGTATGGCAAGAAATATCATAAAATTCACATCACGGTTTGATGACACATTAAACAAAAATTTTCACATGCACATGCACATCAGTCCTATACTCAACTTGAGAAGAGGATTGCATTTTAATATATGTAATGCGCCAATTGAAAAACTTTGAGGTATCATATACGTACTTAATCTCCATTCCACCACCAAATCGGGTATGACTATTCCCATTTGTCCCTTCTGCTCCTTCCTGCCTCACCATAATCCATCCCTAGCATAATACATAATCATGGCTTAGGGATATGAATAGTTTTACTAGTCATCATGCAACCCCAAAGAACAAAAAGTCCCACCACCGGGTGGAATTCAAACATGGTACCAGTACCCACTGTTCCCAATGGTATATTGTCCAGAATCCAACCCTTAGACACCCAGTATGCCATTAGAGCAGCGATGGAGAGGGAGGTCGGAATGGGTGTGCCTTCGAAGTATTTACTCTTTCCGGTAGCATCCTTGGGAACATTGGCTACGGTGATGTTGAAGCGAGCGAGGCGCGTAAGACCACAGAGGACAAAGAAGGTCAGGAAGAAATGGTCGACAGGAGTGCGGATACCAATGGCAAAAGCTGCGGCTGCGGGAGAGACTCCAAAGGATACCTATGGTAGAAATTATTAGCATCACCAATTGAATGATGCATACAGGTATAATTAGAGAGACACACCAAATCTGCTAATGAGTCCAATTCTTGGCCCATCAAACTACTCTTCTTCCTCCACCTTGCGACCTTCCCATCCATGAAATCGAAGAACAGCCCAAATGGCATGAAAGCCAAAGCCGCCCAAAGATTTCCATGCGCGTCGGCTGGGCCCAGACAATAGCGCATCGAGGAGAACACAGACATAACACCACAGAATCCTAAGGAGCAGCAGTCAGTAAATTTGTGCGAAAGGATGTAGGAGGGGTGGCACTAATTACCGTTGAGTTCGGTGATCAAATCTGCAAGATGCAGCATCTTAATCATAGAGAAATGACCGGTGTCCTTCTCCAACAATCTCTTTTGCTTATCTACGGCTATCCCCTCCGTTAGCACACATTACAATTATACAAATTCGATCTGTTCACACACGAGGGGGAGGGGCAATCATTTTCGCCGTCATAAACACTCACCGACTGCTGAATCCTTCGTTGCGCCATTTGTGGCACTGCCACTATTTCTTTTCGACATTTGAGATGAATTAATTCGTACCGAGTATTCGTAGCGTAGAGGGAAGTGATGGTATTGTGAGGTTGTTGATTTTGAGACTTTTGGGAAGTCGTTTTCTAGGTTTGTTTTCTTTCGTTAAGAAGAGCTTGGTTTTAGCACCCATGACGTTGAGTGATCGCCAAGCCACAGCTGAACAAGGGGCATGAGCAAACTTTAAATACCAACAAGTACTCGAGTAGGCTCTAGTAGGTGAATAAGTCTTACTTTTATTGCCTTGGAAGGATTCGAGCAAGATTCGCCGGGTGTGTGAAACAAAGATTAAAATTTCAGCCGATCATTCACATGCTCAACATCTTCGTCACAAAAGGCAGTTAGTTGTTTTCTTCTTTGGTTTTGGTCCTCATATACAGTATGTGCTTCGTGATGCAAGCGATATCTTCATCAACGGCCTTTAGAAAGCCTCAAAGACATCCAATTCAGCTCACAGTCACATTCGACAATGATTCACAGTTGAAAAAAGTCTGCCATTTATTCTAAACCGCCTCCGTAGATATGCACCCATACGCCATATGCACTCGTGCATTTACCAAGGCATTGTTGCTAGCCACCATGGGAAATTGATATCGTGGGATAGCGGGAATTTGTAAAACCCGTTCGAATTATGTCGTCCCAAGCCAAATTATACAATATTAATGTGTACTATTACCATCTTCCAGCAATATCTTTTAGACCTTTACCGTGTAAGAATAATGCCAAATCCATCAATCCATGCTGCACATGATCCTGAAACGCCCGCAATGGTGTATCCTCTCGGGGGTATCAAAGTATGCCTGGAGAATATCAGTGAAAATGCACAAGGATAGCCAGAAGGAATAAGCTAGCTGTCGTGAAGTTTGTAACACCTCACTTGATACAGCACAACGTGGGGAAAATACTAACCCAGAACCGCCAACAGCGTTTCCAAAAACCTGGGACTTCCTCCCTAAACTAGTCATAATTGCAATACCGTCCAACCACAACCCACTTCTGACATAGAACCCGGTAATATATTCTCCTCGGCGTGTATCTATGATATTATTAGTACTTAAGACTTGATATGTGATGAGTCTAGAATATACCGAGACTAAAATCTGCAGCCGATCCACCCCTCTTGCCAAAAAGTTGCGAGGTTGCATCCTCGTAAATAAACTCTATACCGTCGAGCGCGAAGCCCGCCCAACTAGAGTACTTGTCAGTAATCGTACTTGACTGAATCATCTTGGAAATGCGGAAAACAGCGACCCAGTATGACCCTTCCGGATGTTTTGAAGCAATGCACTTACACCCTCACCTGTATCATCAGTTTTGTTTGATAAATTGAACTATCAAATATGACCTCCTGCGGCTGGGTGCCATCCATCTGTGACGCGCCCAATTTACTGCTTCTGAAGGCCATTTGTCCATTCTTTAATTTCAGCTTGCTGGCTTTGGAGACGAGCTGGGCGAAGTCTTCAACCTCATGGCTACCACCACCGAATGATTTCACAGAGAGCTTCAGCCTCGATTTTCGGCGTTCCTCAGGTAGTTGACTTCTTAGATCTTGCTCCGTTAGAGTAATCTGTCGTTGGATGGGCCCGTTGCCATTTCCATCTCCGAACTCTTGCCAGTGATGACAAAGATCGTCGCCCTCGGTAAATATTTCGAGGAAAGCTACCCCAGATGCCGCTGTAACGATCACACTTCCATTATCCACGGGCCATACTTGGATGGAGTCATCGCTAACTCGTGGAGGGTCCGTGGGGAGTGCGAACGACGGGTGGCTCCTGAAACGCAGAGTGTCCAGCCTATGCCATGTGCATTCGTCTCTGGGTAAAACCAGCCCGCCCTTCGATTTTGTACGTGTCGAATAAGGCTCTCTAGTGGTAAAAGACCGGTTCAACGTAACGTAATCTCGAAGCATTACCCCATTCTCCTGATGAGGGCATCCAAACAAATGGCCCACTTCATGCAGGTGGGCGCCTATCCCAATGTTGGCAGCTTCCCAGTTGCTGCCAGATTCATTACAGTCATTCGCTACAAAATTGGTGTCCGTGACTGTACAATCAGAAAATGCCGGCACAACTTCTTCTAGCGTAGATGGGTAACTTTGTAATGCCTGGCTACCGAAAATAGCTAGCTGAAGCTCTCCACCCCCACCTCCAAGGGCGGCATGACCAGTGATCATGTTGTGCCGCTTTTCCCAATGAGCGTCCAGGAGGAGAACTGTCACATACTGTTTCTGACCTGGCTTGGGCTTAAAGTAATTTTTGACATCCTCACTAGCAAAGGCAAACAAATCACCTCGGCGGGTGCCATTTTCGTTCTGCTGGGCAACATCGAGATGTCGAAGTTCGTCAACAGTTTTCGAGCTTCGGATAACATGGACTTTTGCTTCACTTCTCATGGTCCCCATCTCACGGTCTCTATAGTTCGAAGTACCTGTAATCCACTCCTCTTCAAACCTAAACGTCCTTCGACCAAGCTTATTTCGAAACATCTGCTCGGCGGTAAATGCCTGCCAACTGGTAATCGTTAGTTCATTCTCTTCAGCTAAAGGATATTTTGATATGAAGGAAGAAACAGGAGCCGATCTAGGAGGATATGGCACTTTGCCAAATTCTGAACCTCGGGGGAACAAACTCTGTTCCCAATGGCACTGGGTGAAAGAATATGCTGGCTGCTAATTCGTAGCAACAACCACACCGGGCTAGTTGCTACCATAAAGTAGAAGTTTATAAGGGGAAGAGATACACGTACAGATAAGCTGCCATTCTGAACTTTCGTATAGCAGTATCTAAGCCATTGCCCTCTCTCTCGATGCGCGAGGGTACGGCATCAAATGTCCCCGGAGAATCTTTCCCGAGTAGTATAACCAATTGAAGCGGGGGATTTGTAAGAGTTGGCAGCATGTGGAGAGTGAGGTAAGAGGAATGTATGGGATTAGGAGAGTTGCTGTTCGCAAGTTTCGGAGATGTGAAATCGAATCTTAACCGATTGGGGCCCGGGCTAAGGTAGACAAGTGCCTTGAAGTGCGACTCGGAAACAGGCCAGTATGTCGGAGGAAATCCATCGTCTAGACGAGTGACTGTGAGGGTCCCGTCTATCTGTACTTCTGATGGATCTGATATTGTGCCATATATCGACAAGACCTTTTGATATACCTAGTCAAAGTTTGTTAGCTCTGCCCAATCCTGCGGCACTTGCAGGATAGCTTACCCATGTATTGTCCGTGATGGACAAAATTCGCGGTGAGTATGGTGAGACGGGCAAAGCCGATTTTGAAGAAGGAGATCCTAAACCGGACATCCCAGATACGCTGTATCTATTTGACCCAGTCGTCGAGACAGTTGGTCGAGTTACTCCCATGCCGTTGAGGGTGGATGAGGATTGTGAATTTGGCATTGTTGGCGGCGTTGTAGCGCCATAAGAAGAATTCAAGGAGATTTGCGATTTACTCGAAGTGAATGTGTTGCTTCGAAGACCACTGCCATTGCTTGCATTACTGACACTCGATTCCCCAGTGCTGGAATCTGTTGTCTTTGCGACGGGCTTGGAGCGCCTCTTAAGGTCCTTCAAAAAGGAAGGGGCCATACTACAGCCAGAGCAAGGAGCGTAGCTAAAGAAAAGGAGAAGAATCAATTAGCTTGCGATGGTAAGCGAAAGAGACATTGAAATAATTAATCTCTTGGAGAATGATGGCGATGATGGCAATGATGATGATCGATGATGGCAGACCTTGGGTGATATTTTTCTCAAGTCGGTGCTTCCCCCAGTTAATAGTAGGTAAGGTAATGGAAAATAAGGTTGGAAAAGCGGAATGTTTAAATTTTGAGACTAATAATAATAAGATGGCGACGCTTGGTTTCTTGATGGAGGGGGTTGGATGGTGCGAAAGAGGTTCTCCAGGGATGTTTATTAGATGGGGGACAAAATGAAGATGGTGGATCCTTGTTTTAGAAGTTCAAAGGCGTGAATATGAATGTAAGGACCTAGGTACGGTGCTACTCGAGTAGGTAGATTTAATGATGGAGGGTAGTAACGTGGTATTTCACCTATAGAGATTCCTGTTTCTCTCTTTTCCCTCCTTTCTCTCTTTTGTTCGCTCATATGGAAAGTACCTAGGTTTGCATGAGATCGAGCACCATTATTAGGACTTCTCCAATATTGATCCATTGATCCATCCACCCACCCAACATATATGCACAGCATCCAAGGAACAGAAACATTTGAACGACTATTTGGCGGAGTCTGGGCATTTGCTAGGATACCCCTTGTAAGGCATTTCTTATCCATCGCCGGAAAGGGAAGATACGCCTTTTTTTGGCATCAATCATCTGAACTGCATCTGAACTGCATCTGAACTGGTACGGCAGGCAATATATAATTACCCGTTATTTGTACATGACATATGGAGTGGCATGATGGATGAGGACGCAGAGGACGTACCGGTGGTCCATACAGTTAATTGATGGATAGATGATCATCATCGTCAATACCTTCCGTTGGTGTGCTTTTAATACAAGAAAGGTTTCAGCAGTTGGGTAACCAAATCTCCTCTGCACTGCCGCAGTCATATGAAGATCCACGATATTGAGTCTTGCTGTGGTCTCTTAAAATCCTTCACGACATGTCTGTCGTGTCGACTACCTACGTACTAGCTATGCATTCCAGACTTTATTAGAGGGGTTGTATAATAATATGTCAAGGTGAAAAGCTGACGAGAGCACGGGGCACACAGGCACGGACATGGCTCGAAGGAAGGAGGAAGAAGGCTTTGTTGGACACCACGACTGTGTTTATAGCTAGCGAGTATGTATGGCGCTTATGAAACACACAATTCAACATCTAATACGGAGCCGTAGGTGTAGAAACTTTTGATAAAGGCTATATAACTTGACTCGGAATTTATAGGTGTTGAATCAAATGAGCACAATGCACGTTCTGCTCAAAGGTAGGTATTATTAGGTAGTATGTATGTTAGTTAGTATCCATCCATACCTTATCTGATACGACAATGCGAACGAGGAAGTTCTCACTCTCTTTACTATTATGATTATAGTTGTTATTGTTATTGTTATTATTGGTCAATGCTAACCAGTTCAACTTGTCTTTTTCACAACATGCTTATCCCATTTTAGCGGCCCTCCAAACTAGGCTCCTTACAGCACCAGTGCACCTAAAGAGAAGACCTAAAAACTAGATCCCGTCAAACCGCTAGGCCCAAAGGCCCTTAGCAGCTCAGTCTGACCACTTCCCTTGTAAGCGATAGATAGGTAGATAGCAGCCAAGAATGAATGAATGAGCCACGGAATTCCAACCTCTTCATCGTCGAACCGTATCATTCAACCAACCATCATACAATCAATTTACCTTTCTGCTAAAAGAGAAACAAAAGAGAAAAAACTGTATGATAATCTTCGACCCTTTCTGTCATTTTCTCAAGCTTGCTGTTCAATCCCTTGTCCACATTGCTCTTGACCCGCAACAGAAAACTTATTCGAGAGAAAAAAAATTCCCCAGGTGGAAGAAGCTAAGGCCAATTTCACTTTCGGCGCCAACCTTCTCTTCTCACCTGGAAAATATCTAGAACATCTTCCATTCGGATATACTTCCTTGTACAATCTCAACAGCAGGCAGATCAATCTTCGCAGCAAACTGGCAATTTATAAAGATGTCTTCCCCGTGGAAGAAGCAGCCCGAGGAGGTAGCGGGGGCAGTTTTGAAAAGAGCCGAGTTAAGCAAGGTAAACTTTCTTGTGCCATTCGGGTCAAGTCCTCTGTCTCAGCACCACACTAATGTCAAATTATCTAGATGGCTCGGAAACTGCAGAATCGACTGGCGCTTGCACAATTTAAAACCGAAAGGGGTTGGGAGGATCTCACACTAGATACAATAGAACCAAGGATGGAAGAAGAGCTGAGGAGAAGACGGCCAACCTCAAGCGGAGATGTATTATCCGACTCATCCTCCAGTGCTGCATCTGACTTGCCATATTCGAACCGAAGAACCTTACTAAGCTCCCCTTTGAAAGCCGCAGCCATATTTTCCGATCGCATTGTATCGAGTGGTAGCAGCACTGGGCCTAGGAAGAGGTCGTACCACACCACTTTCCAACCACCGAGCTCAAATATGGGATCTCGAAAAAGGGTTCGCTCTTCTCCAACACCCAGTAGATTACTACGACAGCCCAACAGTTCTTGGAAGAATCACCGCCAATTAACCCAATCATCACCTATCAAGCCACGGAAACCTCATTTCACCACCTCGGCGGGACCGGATATCTCCTTCTACAGGGGATCTTCGCATATGCCAGATGATCTTACCTCTCCCAACTTCGCAGCTCCATCCGATGACGAAGACAACCACCTTCCTCTACATTCTTTTAATATCCTGCCCTCGTCTCCGCGAACTCCATCTCCTATCCGAAACAGAGGCAATCCACACCATCGAATTAAAGATGGCAATGGCAGGTCAGCAGAAGAAGAAGCAGATCTCTTACTGTACCTCAGTAGTCCTGCAAATCCCGCTTCACGGACAAGAATGCAACCACCATCTACCCCACCGTCCAGGAAGCTTGATTTGCCATCATCTATGATGACCACCCCAATTTATAGCGGTGGTCTCTCAATATTCGGTGCACCTGCCACGCCTTCACAAGGATTCGACTTCGCCGACTTTGTCAATATCACGCCAAGTCCCGCCCAAACGACTTGGACTCCAAGAGCTGCTAAGACTCCGTTGACTGTTGCACGCAGGCGCTTAACATTCGAAAACTTTCACGCACCAAATGCAAGTCCATCAAGGCGCGAGAGTCCTGCTTCTTCTAAGCACACTGGACTTGGTATGCAATTAGGCGGGGATCTTCTATCCTGATATATTTCTGTTTACGTTTACGATACACTTTTGATGTTTACGATCATCAACTTCTATTCTCACGATTATGTTACTTTGTATATGAATTTGACGGCTCTTCTTATAATGTTTTATCTGCATGCATCGGCTAGCAGAGGTTTGGTGTTTGGTGGGAAGCTACTATGCTAGATGTAAATCCCCAGTAGGGATACAAGGGATGTGATGAAGTGACTGGTTTTGGGTTTTATTGTATCTCATTTATGGCGGGTAAGAAAATATCTGATATGGAAAGACGACGAGATGGTATGGGAAAGGAAGGAATGCAAGGCGGGGAAATTCCCGAGAGCTTGGGCTTGTCTTTCAATATGGCGAATCTAATTTGACACTGAAGTTCGTGACAAATGGTGACGTGACGAGATGTGGAAGGGTGCTTTAATAACCAATGACATTCAACTTATCAAAATTGGATTCTTCACATACTTTGATTGGCTGAATTCAGAAAATGGCTTAACTGAGGACAGAATATGAGGCATGGACACACGGCAGTAAGATCACGATCTTCTTGTACATACCTACACTAGGCGGCAGGTAGGTAAGCACAATCCACCAACCGGTAGTCGGCTCTTATAACCGGCCGACTATTCCCTAATCGGGAAAACCGAGACTCTCCTGGGAAGCGAATTGTCCCTTTGCCGGTTTCGATAGAAGAATATATCAGTCTAGATTATTACCAAAACCCTTTATTATTGGTACACGATTCTGAATTACCAAATTAATGTAACGAATTATCATTATTTGGCTTTGATTATCAAATTGAAACCAACAATATGAAAATTATTACATTAATTCGAAAATTGATTACTATTCATATATCATGTACACCAAGCGGTGCATTTCATTCTCCGAGGATATTCGGTTTCACCCACTTGTAGGAGCTCGTCGGAAGGATGCCTCACGAACTATGGGGTATCGCCAACAAAAGGGGGGCCTTTCGTTGTAAACATATAAGATGTGAGTTGCTTACTCCCTCCTCGATCCATCCGCAATGCGATCATTTACTTTATTATTCATCATTCACATTTTAATATCTTTTGTACCTTGAATACTCACTGGAGGAGTAGATTCTATAAACATCGCAATTCGTTCCAAGATATACTTCCTGATATATCTTGGAAACAATGACTTCTACCGGTGTTTGGATAGCTTCCTTCGTTGTGTTCTATTATATTGCAGGCAGGCTATACAAATCATACAGATATTCCGCGAAATCACGCCACTTCAACTGTGAAGAACCAGTAACGCATGAAGCGGTCAGTCGCTGGCCTTTCGGTCTTGACCTCTTCAAGAGAATATTGGATGCTGAGCTAGGGAAATACTTCCCAAACTTCCTTCAAGGCAATGTCGAACGTTATGGCAACACATTCAGATATCATGTCATGGGCTCGTCGACTGTTTTTACTATAGATCCTAGGAACATTAAAGCCACTCTCGCGACACAATTCGACGATTTTCAAATCCCACAAATGAGGTCAGGTGCCTTTTGGCCTATGCTTGGGAATGGCATATTTACACAGAATGGCCACGCGTGGAAGGTAACGAGGGATATGGTGAGGCCACAGTTTACTAGAGATCAACTTAGTGACCTTACAGTGGAGGAGAAGCATGTTCAACACTTGATGAGAGCTATAGATGCCAGGCTTCAGGACCAATGGACTGCAGAGATAGATCTGCAGACTCTCTTCTTTAGGCTAACCATAGATTCTGCGACGGAAATCCTACTTGGGCAGTAAGTAGTATCTTTTACCATGCACGATCAGCTTTCTTTCTTAGAATGGTTTGCAGTTACCCCTAATAATCTTCAATAATACAATGATAGATAAGCTGACCATGATTTTAGGTCTTCTAATAGTCAGCTTCTCAAACTACCAGGAAATCACGACAAAGTCGACGACACCGGAATAGACTTCGCAGCTGAATTCGACAACGCTCTATCTTGGACATCTCTTCGGTGCCGTTTCGCTGATAAATACTGGCTGGTCACCAGCAAAGGCTTTACCAATTCTTGCAACAGATTAAACGAGTACGTGGATCATTTTGTCCAGCTCGCTCTCACCAGAAACTCGCTAGGCAAACCTCAGGATGAAGACGACGTATCCGGTGCCAAGGAAAAGTACATTTACCTGGATGCTCTTGCAAAAGAAACTTATGATCCTGTTGACCTTCGCTCTCAATGTCTACATTTGCTTTTGGCAGGCAGAGACACCACCGCCTCGTTATTAGGATGGTTGTTTCTCTGCCTTGCTCAAAATCCCACGTATTACCAAAAGCTTCGCAAAATTGTTATCGAAAACTTCGGAACGTACGAAAATCCTTCTGAAATTACCTTTTCCGACCTCAAACGTTGCAGAGACCTCCAGTATTACTTGAATGAAGCTTTGCGACTTTATCCACCGGTGCCTCACGATGTTAGAGAAGCGAGCAAAGATACAACCCTGCCTTTTGGCGGCGGAAAGGATGGGAACTCAAAAGTTTTCGTCCCCAAAGGGACAGTGATTGAATATAGCGTTTATGTCATGCATCGAAGAAAGGAAATATGGGGTGATGATGCCGATGAATTCCGACCAGAGAGGTGGGAGGGGAAGAAAGTTGGCTGGGAATTTTTACCTGTAAGTCTGGATTCAGCCCATTTTGCCGCGCAAAGCTCGTTACTAATGTTGAAAGTTTAATGGCGGCGCAAGGGTTTGTATTGGACAGCAATTTGCGCTGAATGAAGCTGGATATGTTACTGTAAGGCTTCTTCAGCGGTTCGATATGATTGAGAACATGGAGACAGACCCAGTGATTAAGCATGACTATAAACTCACGGACGCCTCCGCCAACGGTGTGAAAGTCAAGCTTCATATTCCCACTGCATAAAGATGGCACATGGTTCCAGCTTTTTCCGTACCGTACAATTTTGGTTTTATTTAACCTACTGGGATTTCGATTCTGGATGCGCAGGACGAATCTGAACTTTGAAACTTGACCATTTGTACATTATTTCGATGTGTGGTGTTTATAATATTGACGTCTAATGCGTTGAGAGCAAAATTGGTTGGACCGCGACGGTCAAAATTATCAGTTTTGTCAATTCCGATCTCAGCGCTTATCACAGTTCCAATTTGTCAAGAATAATTTTAATCTCCCCAGCTACAAAACCTGGATCATCCATTTGGATAAAATGCCCACAGCCACTTGCAATTTTCACGCCCTCACATCGTCCTTCATCTGTTACACTTACCAATCCTGCATTGTACTTTGCCCAATATCTACATGTTGTTAATTAGACAACTATCCCCGAACAATAGAGTTGCTTCAAAGAAAATAAGTAACGCACGGATTCGTAAACCTCATACTCATACTTCTCGGTGTTCCCATCCTTTCTAAACTCACATCCGCAAACGTGGCCGGATCATGCCCTATAACCGTTAACCACGGGCCCTTTTTACCCGTACCCATAAGTTTCGGCCGATCAGCATGCGGTAGTAACGTCGGTCCAGTTCGTCGATCCATAGATTCAGCGTTCGGGACAGATAAGTCGAATACATTTATTAATCTTGTCCGTGCCCCGATGTATTGCGCGAGCGTACAGTCCGGGGCGACCACAAGAGTTGGATCAAAGGTTGGGGATGAGGGGTCGGGAAGGAAATCACTGTAATTCACGTTTGGGATGTTGGAGTCGAGGGCGAGGAGCGCGCTGCAGATAAATGGATGGGTTTGTATGTAGAGGCGGGATATGGGAACCTAGTTGGGTGTTATTCAGAGGTCATTTAACAGGAGATGTGTATAAATGACATCAGATTTTGACAATAAGGTATCCGGAGCACCTACTCCAATCGAAGCAGCCACGAATATTACACTAAGTCTTCCATCTTCGACCTCATCTGGTTGAAGACCAAACTTCGTCCTAGCGATCACTAGAATGACCTCATGGAGATCATTCGCGGCATCCATGAAATCATGTCCATAACCCTTTCCATTATCTAAAGGATCTCTAGCTGTAGTTAAACCCTGTCCATAACGGTCGTATGTCAAAAGTGATGGACAGTTCCTAACACGGGATCGAAGGATCGAAATACATGATTCCCAAGAAGAGGCAGGGAGTCCAAGCCCATTTACAAAAATGACGAGAGTGTGATATGGTTGGACGCTCGATTCTTGGACGACCGAAGCAGATGCAGCCGGGAAGAAAGTGTGAGATATGGAAGCACGTGGCTTGGAGGGAATGGTGAGGAATGATGGCGATACGTTAATCATAGAAGGAATCAGAGTTGTATGTTCCATTTTGGGGATTGATGTAGCACGGTTAATTGGCCATATTTAAGCCTTCTTCAATATTCAGGTAGCGCGAGTGTGGATCAATTGATAAACATTATCTAATTCAGCCTTATGGTAAGGCGGAGGCAAAACTTTAAATACGCCCAGGGTTGTTAGTCTTAGATCCTTTATCTTATCTTATCTCAATCAATCTCTAAGCGAGCCATGCCCCGTCCCTTGTAACCTTTCGAGCCTTTCCGGCCAATCTTTGTGCTTCGGTAGGACAATAACAACATTTTCATCCCGACGCAGATCACGGTATGAACATGGCATCCCCAGCTATCCCACAGAAGCGAACCTATAGGCACAAATCACACTCGGAAGAATTGAAGAATAAACGTATCTGCACCGCGGCAAGCATAGCTGCGGCAAAGGTATCACAGCAGGCACCTACGATCGAACGAGTCCTTACCATCTCAGAAGATGCCGTCTGGTCACTCCGCAAATCCGATCTCCGAACTCACTTCCTCACTCTTCAACAATACACTCAATCACTGTCGGATGCGGTGCCAAGAACCGATTGCAGTGTAGATGCCCACGGTGATTTAAATGAGACCCACCTGTTTGAAACCCTTCCCCCACTCCTACGCGTGCCACTAGAACTACGTCAATTAATATATCGTCATCTACTAGTGCCGCCCTCCGATGACCCTCGTCTTGGGCCCCATCCCCGCCAACTCCAATCCCACATTTACCTCTCCTGCGTATTTGAAGTTGCGGTCCTCCACCTCAATCGCCAAATATACCACGAAGCGCTCCCAATATTCTACGGCGATCCCCTCCAAACCATCTCTATAACCGTCAATTACAATCTCTGGGCGCACAAGACGCAACGCTCCGATCTAGTTCTCTCATCATCCCTCACCTCATCTATTCGAAATCTGTCGCTTTCCATCCAGCTCGGTAGTGAGAAACGAAAACAGAAACCCGAAGATTTTGAAGCTGAGGCGAGACTAAAGGAAGTAGCTAAAGGTATCAAGAAACTGAGGAAATGGTTAGCAGGAGCCGATATTCAAGTTCTGACAATTGGGTGGCAAGAGCCACCGCAAACTTATACATTGGAGCAGAAGAAAGAGGTTTTGGATGGGCTTAGACCTCTGAGGGCAGTAAGGGTGGAGGCCGGAGATATAAATTGGGGCTTGGATTGGAACAAGGGAAAGAAATTTAGGTTTGACGTTGATTATTTAAAAGAGTTGGAAAGAGAACGATTCTGACATTTGCATGTTAGGGTTCGCATACATCGTAGGCGGTGCTGCGACTGTTTATTTGACTGGGCTCACCGAAACATTGCATGTTAGACAAATGTCGGGATACAGAAACTTCAACCTTTTAAGCTGATCCACCCATCTATCGCCATTCGTAGTACTATGACATTTCCCCATTAAATACAATTCACCCTAACGCCGCGCTATGCACTAAGCCCCCATGTTAGTATTGGAGTAACTTTTTCCCGCTCTTTCCATCCACTTTTAGTGTAGAAAAAGAGCAGAATTGATCCTTAATGGCCACTACCTCATATGTTCCCTCCTGCGAAGACTGTATCGTCTTGCTGTGTTCATACGAGATCTCATGCCTGGTCTCTAGCACATGTGACTTCTGACCCTTCTTCGCATTCGTACTTCTTGTATATGTAAACTCAAAAGGCGGCACACCCCAGAACTCAAATAGAAGTTCGGCTTGCCCACCCTCATGAATATCAACTTCTACTTGCTTTCCTTTACTAATTCTGACACTGGGCATTTCATGGATAACCTTCGTAATCTCAGTCTTTGCTTTACACTCGCTAGCCTTATCCGAGATAGCGGTGATAATGAAACTGCCTGGCTTCTCGGCAATACGCCTGAAACTAGTATTTGGTGATTTTGCTTTCCTTTGCACGTTCTCGAATGTATAGTAGATCTCGAATGGGGGTGTACCCGATAATGTATACCCAATCCGTTCTCCTACACAATAATCTGTACGAGATTCCAGAGGATAGATGGTAGGTACGTCGTAAACTTGTACTTGTACGTGAGGAGCACCATGTTCGGTTTTTTGCTGACAGCCTCTGGAATCGCGAATTTTTCGTACACTGACTTGATGGATGCCCAGAGATAAAACTCGATGAGGTATCCGGAAATCATAATTGTTAGAATCTATATTGGCAATTTTGACAGTTTCGGGTCTGGTACTGCTTTGGTGTTTGATATCAATCTCCAGGTAAAAGGGAGGGATGCCTTCTAATTTGATAGGAATGACTTCATCTCCGGCGAGCTCTTCCTTGCAATACTTGTAGGACTGTCCTGGTTTTATGAAATGTGCAGCCGGTTTCCTGTTGACCTTTTGCTCAATAATGAGCGGCGAGAACTTCTTCGAGTCATGGTCATATAGATTGTCAGAAAGCTCGGAGAATTTATACTCGTAAAGGCCAGGCTTAATTGTGTCCATGCCAACAGTCGAAAGTCCAAGGCCTGCATCGAACTCTTTGTTACTGATAGATATCGAGCCATGCTCCGGTTTATGACGAACTTGATATTTGACGTGATAAGGGGGAGCACCTGTGATGTGTTAGCCGAGCCTGGATGCGATCCTGAAACAATCATTCAACTCACCAATAAGGTTGATCTCCACTGCGTCGATATCACCTTCGCATACTTCATGCTTGACATATTTCTCCCCATTCAATACAAGAGCCGAATTATCCACAAGCTTAATTTTCGGTCTGGGGAGCCAATCAACCTCAAACAAGGACGCCTTGGGATCGACTGTTCCAGGGCACTGGTTGTCGAACACATCAAGTAATTCGTAAGTACCACGAGCATCAACCTTAACCGCATCGTTGGTTGACATGGCTGTTTTCTCCAAGATCTTGCCAGAATCATCATCCACATTTCGATACTTGATGCTCCAAGGAGGCTGGCCAGTCAAGCGCAAAGGTAGCGGAATATTGGTGCCCTCGATAGTCATAATCTTGTGCTTTCCGTCCAGATGACCAAAAGCGACTCGTGGTCTTTGGTGTCTGACCATGAATTTGACCTCACCATTAAGGAATATCTTGCAGCCCGTCTTGTCTTGGACGCTTGCAAGTGCGAGAGAATACTCGCCACCAGTGATCAAAGGATCCGTCTTGATCTTGTATATGTCACTTTCAATTCCAGTGACCTTTTGCTTTCGACGTCTACCGTCATGGACAATCTCGTATTCTAATGTAAAAGGTGGCTCGCCAGAAAGCTCAACATTCATCTCGACAGGCTCCTCAATACAAGCGTCGATATTACCGGCGGGTCGTCTAAGATAAGCTGAAGCTGGTGGCTTGACATCTTGCTCCAGCACTAGATCATTGCTATTCAATTTATGGTTCTTGTAAACAGCGTCATCCACAGAGGTAAATTGGTATTTGAAATGGCCCGCGTCGCGGGGTTTAAGCTCCAGTTGGTGCCGTAAGCCAGATACTTTCACTGATTCATGCTTAAGGCCGCTCTTTGTAATTATGTTGTACCTTACGACGAATGGTGGGGTACCAATTAGATCAAGGTCGACGAGTAGTCCTATGGAGTTGCCAGCACATTTATCGTTGATATTCTCAGCATTTATAGACAGCTGCGGCTCAGGTGGGTTGAGGAGCAAGCAAGAAGCAGGCTCTCTTACTTCACCTTCACAGAATTTGCTTTTGACACCAACGAGAGTGTAAAGACCTGGTTCGCGAATGATTGGCGATTGATGGGCATTGCGTGCAGAATATTCCTCAAAAATCACCTCAGTACCGTGGTCGCCCGCAGGTGTCAAGGTGTCAAGAGGCGAGAATTTGTACGTCAAGGTGTGGGAGGTATCATCTGGTGTTCGGCCAGGCGATGCATATTCAACTGGAAGCTCTGTTGTATGGCCATTGGCAACCATTAGCGGACTCCTAGAATCACAGCCCGTGAGCCTTGAAAGAGGTCTCTCATGGACTATGAGGCTCTGCTCCATGTGTGTATTTTTAGGATAGATGAGCTCCCCATCTTCACCAACAAGTGTGAAGTTTGCAACATTCCCGGTAGCGTCATGAATCTCGTTGATTGAGTATAACCACAGCCCGCTAGGGGTCATAGATTCATTTAATGGGATAATGACTTTTCTTGCCTGCCCCCATGAAACATCCAGATTCCCCGAGGAGATTAATGTGCTAGGCCGAGTTGCACCCGAAAGCGGCGAAACAAAATTCTCAGGTTGGTTACTTTGGAAGTGGAAACTGCGATCTTTGTCGTTGATAGTACGTCCATACACAATCTTTAATGGGGCGGTCCCCTCAAGTTCGATGGAGAGGTCAGAAAGGTCCCCTAGACACTTGTCCGAACTCGTAGACCTAATAACCGCTTTGGGACATTTCACAACAAGTGTGTCGGACATTCTTCGCTGTACTTCGAGCTTTGACTGATCTACAATCTTGTGAAGTCTGTATAATCCCGGTTTCTTCACAGTATAGTCGAGAGTGTAAACATTTGGCTCATCCTCCATCCTTCGAAAGTTCTTCATGTCCCGTTTCTTCAACTCAATCGTTTCGTTTGCATTTGTGTCAAAGTCAAAGCGCAGTAGTTCAATGTGTACAGGCTTGGTCTGGTTGAAGTACATGGGGAGCTTGACGGTAGGGCGACTACTATCTAAACAGAATGGAAGACCATCAGGGTTCAGTGTCGCAGATCTATTAGAGATTAGTATTGGCACGGCATGCTGTGGAGATGTATTGTTTTGGTCGAGACATACCCCTCTGGCAATATATTGATAATTTGTCGACCCATAATCAAAGATGAGTTGTGTAAAATGGCGGCAGGTCGAACACTGTTCTCCGAAATGGAGAGCTCACTGTCAAAAAAGGTCTTTGTGAGAAGTAGAATCCATCCTTGGAGGGGAAGCTTCACATAATTAGCTGTACCGTCCCCAAATCTGCTTCAGGAACCACTTACTCCAATTCTGAACATCAACACGAAATCAAAGATGGCATGTAGCCCAAAAGCTACATGGGATGTCGATTGTGACCACTCCAACCATGGTATTCGGAGTTTCGGTACCCAGTATAAAAATAGGGCGTCCAGCATTACCCATTTCATGAACAACGGAAAGGACTCAGATTCATCCTCTATCAGCTGCCACCAATCATACAAACGCCATACCAACAGCAAGCCATATAATCCTGTAACATACATGCGCTGACTAGGAGCATCGATAAGTTCGACGGGTATTAATGGCGCGTCGGATTCTGTGGCAGCAGGTGATGCCGTAGGAAGATCCCGTAACGGGGATGTCACTCGCCCTGTTGGATTCCTTTGGCCAGGGCCACTGCCAGGAGTAGGCGGAAAGCCAGAACGCATTCTTGGGGTTCCATTCATCTTGTAGAAATTCTATAATCAATTCATAGTTTAAATCTTGACGAAAGTGGTTCGAGGCCAGCCAATGTGCGGGAAGTTAAATGTCGTGGATAGTGTGATGTTTAAAATAAATGAGCGGGCAAGCTATCCGCAGACGGGTTCCTGAAAATGGGGACGTAGATTCCTAGACACTTGAGCCAAAAGGATAGTAAATAAACGGAGATCGACTGGAAATGGATCAATCAATCAATTAATCAATCAGAAAGGTATGGATTTGTCGTAGTTGTTGTATAGTGAATGAATACCGTGGTAAGGAAGGTACTTTTCCAGCTCAAAGTTTGAAAGTTCAAAGTTTCAGAGCAAGAGCTCAAATTTTTAGAGTAGTACCAGTTCTGCCAGTTCTGCCAGTTCTGCCTTAACCTCGATAATTAACAAGTCGCGGGTGCAGTTCCTTGGACGACGCGTCTTTTTTAAATTTTTTTATTTTATGAATTTTCGATTTTCGATGTTTCCACATGGGAGCCAGCATTCAAAAAGCTTGGACCCCTTTCAACCAACACCAATTATTAGTATTACCATTATTACCAGCTCCATAGAATGAAAGGTATAGTGACAGTGACAGTGACAATGACATAAAAAGATGAATAAATGTTTCTACAAAATCAAATAATTCATCAATAATCATTGGTTAGATAGTTCTAAGAAAGGCTTCCATTTCCATGACTTTCTTCTTGTTCCTAATCATACTGCCACCTGCCACCTGCTACCATCTACTCCATATATACACAACATACACTTATCTATCCCCCTCTTCTCCACAACTACTATAAATCACTTTTTATTACCTTTAACCCAATCCCATACCTTTGATCACCACTACTTGCAATTCGAGCTTCCTCCTCTTATGTTTCTGTGGTCCAAAGGCTTGACCGGAGCTTAAAAAATAGTTAATGCAAGTTTCGATTACTTTCCTATATTAAGAATCCACTACCAAAGCAAAGCGAACAATGGATGCGCCTTCAGTGTCGGGGGATTATTCGGTACAATCTACAGTTTCGGATTTTGCGCCAAGGAAACGCTCCTTGAGGAATCAAAGGAGGTCTGGGTCTCCAAGTGGAGTCTCCACACATCTGCGCGAGAATGTTATGGGAGCACAAGAAGTACAAAATGGACAAATTTCAGCGAGCCCCGGGACAGGCCGTCCCAAACGTTCCGCCCAAAGAATCAAGAGATCGGAGGCTGGTATCATCGACGATACATTAAAGCCCCTGACGGATGAGGAACGCAGGGCCTGGAAAGGGTGGTGTGAGCTGGAAAGTGATCCAGTAAGTTGCTTGTCAGATTTTGGCCTTCTTTAATTTTAACACGTTCTTCACAAGGCACTTTTCAACTTCATCTTACGAGAGTACGGGGTCAAGGATGTCAAGGTGCAGGAGGTTCTAGGTTTAGAGGATGAAATGTTACAATATCTACCGTATGAAATTTACCCTCAGATGCTTGAAATCCATATTGATACTTCTCAAGAAAACCAGTGTACGGACTGGTATTTCTATTTAAATACATAGATGATGCCCTGGAGGATGAAGAGGAACTCCCAAAATGTCCGAACCACGTCTGGTTTGCCAATCAAGTGAGGAAAATCCAAAATCTTAGTTAGGAATTGACTAAGAGAACGCAGACTACAGACAACGCCTGTGCTACTATTGCTCTTCTGAACATTATTATGAATGTCCCGGGGCTTGATCTCGGAGACATTGTCAGCAATTTCAAGAGCGATACCCAATTTCTCAAACCAGCATATCGCGGCCAGAAACTAAGCCAAAATGAGTACATCAGAAATATCCATAATACATTTGCCCGAAGAATGGATATTCTAAACGCAGATCTCGCTCTTTCGAATGAGGTTTCCGCTTGGGAGAATAAGAAGAAAACGAAAAAGAAATCTGGAAAGACCAGGTCCAGATCAGATGATGAGTCGGGCTTTCATTTTATTGCATTTGTTCCAGTGAAGGGCGTTGTCTGGAGACTTGATGGCTTGCAGCGTCAACCAGTCAGCTTAGGTATGTAAAAGAAATGATCATTGGTCAAACAACGCTGACAGTGCAAAGGACAGTTTGATAATGACTGGATTTCCGTTGCCCGTGCCAATATCTACCAACATATTGGCAAGTACGGTGATGATTTGCAATTTAATCTTTTATCCTTGTGTGGAAGTCCGCTCCGCGCCATTCCTTTAGAACTCGCCCAAAACATCCACGCGATCAAGCTTGTCGAAGCTTTGCTGCCGCAACAAACCCCCGATTCAAATAGCTACGCTCAGACCAACGTTGTGGGACTGATTAGAGGACCTTCAGAGGAATTTGGCGTTACAGACAAGCTACTTCAGGAAATAGTACTTCCTTTGAGCACATGCAACATACTCGAGCGAGGAGGTACAGACGCGACCGCTCTTTTCAAGTTGCACCAGCAGTGGGTTGCCGAGCAAAAGGTACTGCGCATCGCTTATAGAAACGAACTGTCATCGATCAAGGACGAGAATGAGCAGGCAGATAGACGGAAGGAAGATCACACGCCAACGGTCTATCGCACATTAAGAAGTCTAGCTGATAAAGGCCTCCTAAAAGAGATCATGGAAGAAGTTCAGTCGACATAGAGTGGGCATTAGAACATGCTTCTAATCCCTGCTTTCAAAGATCGAATTGTAGTAATATATGTACATACCAACGCTAGTCGTCAGGATACTCGTCCCTGAAATTCGCAATGAACTGACGGTTCTCCTGATCATATCGCTTGAAATATTGTCCTGCCACAATCATCAACGATGTCACGTTGGGCTGCTCAACAATATCTATATTGTCCTCGGCCACATAACGTATGCTGGCATCTTCTACGCTGTTATGCTTGTAAGCACTTCCACTGTTCAAAGTACATATTGTGGATACTTACAGTACGTGATAGAAGCTTTGGTTTCTACCACCTGGGTAGGAATCAATTTGATGCTGCGCTATCCAGTTGGAGCCCATGTGGCACCCGACATCCCAACCAATTATCGCTCCTGTATAACCATATCTCTGGTGGCGGAATACTTGCCCAATCCTAAACTTCACCCGATCCGTCCCATTAGATTTGCTGCGAGTCCGCACTTGCCTTGGGGTTGAGTCTACGGCACGGATCACTCTTAATTCCTCGGCTAGCTCAGAGTGCTCTGAGGTGGAGCTATTGTATGATGAGAGTATGTATTTCTCAATAAGAGCAACGTCCTCCGGAAATGATTTTTCGAATTTGGACATCAGCATGGGTACCAATTGATGTTGATCGTGACTAGGGGGGGCTGGTGTCGGGGTCAAAAGAAAGCTTGCCCAAGTGACTGAGTATATTGCATGATCCATTTCCACTAACGGTACACTTTGTAATCTGTTAATCACGAAGGATGGGTCTTGCGCGGGACGGTTTTGTGTGTAAGGATACTCTCGAATCGTTGTAACTATATTTCTAGTCGTACGGAGCACGATATTGTTTGTAGCAGAGGAATCCGCGACAAATTCGGCGAATGATACTCCTCGGACACCCCAAGCTGTCCACATTCGCAGAAGATTTTCCACAGGAATCTCCGAGGTTGATCGATATGGGTCTAGATACATAGGTTCCACAGGAATCTCCTTCTGTTTCAGTGGCTTGTCATCGAGGTCTATGAAAGGCTTTGGGAAAACCATGGCATATACGTGACTCGGCATACCACAGACTCTAGCATCAAGTCCGATTCTCCGGGCTACCGCACAAAATATTGCAACCGAAACCAGTGGTAATGAAGGATGCTCTGGCTCCTGCAGCGCCAAGCCAATATAGTTATTTTGTAAATCGCGATAGTTGAGCTCGGAATTGAGTCCTAAAAGGTTTCGTGCCCGCAGAAACTTAACCACTGCGAGGGCTTGTTGTCGGGTGGACATATAATCAAATTTGGGGTAGTCAGCTCGTATGCGAGTTGCAAGGTCGTCGAGAATATCAGAGATCTATGTAAATGTATTAGCTAAAATTCTACGTAAAGTAGTGACATGGAAGAAAAACCATACCTCCTGCAGGTCCCCGACGTTGTCGTGTAGAATAAACATATCATGCGCCCCCAATGCTGCTTCAATAGGTAGCTCCTCGCCCGCAGCAAGCTTCGACCAAACTGCGAGAGCCTTTGAGCGATGAATGAAGTCAAGCACTGCACAAGCATAGTGTCTATATATGTATATATTAGAGAAGAAACTATTTGCGGATCAAATAGCTTACTTTCTGGCAAGATGGTCATTGCCACGGGAGCGACAGTGTCGCAAAAGCGTGTCCTTTGCATCATAACCAAACGTTCCAATTTCTTCAAAGTTCACGATACGATTAGCCCGACTTTCAAGAAGACGATTCAAAGCCTGTGTCGTTTTTAGGTCTACGTTCCTCCGATGTATATATAAGCTTTTCCAGTCCACATCTCCCACAATGCCGGCAAGCTTTTGAAGAAAAGAATGTCTCGCATCCCAGTACTTGAAGTGTACGCGACAGTGGTATCGCCAAAGTAATGGCTCATTTCCCAAACGATTGAATCGCTTTGAAAGTAGTTGAATATTCGAGAGGGTGTCGTGCGGAGAGCTGTAGTAAAGTATTTGTTGCAAAATCTCATCGGGGAGAATGTTAAAACCAAAACCTCGGCTTATGATATCGACATCGTCGGGAGCCATCGCGGTAATGAGATAGCGGAGCGGTCGCAGTGGTGTTCTGGAATTCGAATCTTAGATCTGGATTATGTGGCTTCAAATAAGATGAATGGTTGTCCTTTGAGTTCGGAATTTGGAAGATTTGACTACCTGCGTAGTACTGGCGCGAAATAGTTCGGATGCCAAATCATTAGAGTGTTAATTTTCTCTACTCTCCCTACCTACTAGTTATACATTATTTTACATACCCTATCTGCTCAGAGGAAAATCAGCCATACTGAAAGAATGTCACTCGAATGATAATAAGAAGTCAAATAATAGATTTTGTCGTCCATTCGCAGTATTATTTAGGTATGTATTATGGATAATTAAGAAACTCGAGTAATTATTAATTTGATATCGAATTTTATTGTGGTATCGCCTACCAAAAGATTGTACATCATACCTGCTCGTGCTATTGAACTACTCGTGCTAGCCTAGCCTACTGGGTACACACTGTAATGCCTTACTAATCAAAGAAGCTCACCAGCTCCACCCACTGTCGGGATGCAGAACTACCCCGCCATGGCAGAAAAACAGCCCACCACCAACACTTTACCGCAGCAGACTCAGCGGGGCATACCTATGGCTACTGGGGTATATAATGTGATCCAGCTACCGATCAACTTTCTAAGTAATATGCAACTATTACTTTCCAATGTACGATTATTATTTTCTATTTAATATACAATTATTACTTTCTCATGTACGATTATTATTTTATATTTAACATACAATTATTACTTTCTATTTGGTATACCGCTATTACTTTCTTTCTAATATACAACTCTTACTGCATTCTAGATATGAGAAATTCTCAGTCATTTCTTCGTATACTGTAATGTAATGTATTGTAAGTGTTGGTACGAGAAGGATACGGAAGACGTAGCACCCACGGATTACGTAGGTCCTGTATGTCTAATTGTATTCTGTCTAAAGAGCTAGCTACATATTGAAAGTAGTAAGTCTTATATAGACTTACTAAAAGAGCTAGTCTCTTTCGCGTTCGCCTAGTTCTTTATTACAGTAGTAATTGAATTGAAGTCATTCACTTCGTTCACACAGTAAGATTAATAACTCTTAACTCATATTGCTACGACTGAGCTGTTTTCGATTCTGAAAATGTGGAAAGAGAGGCAAGACGATTATTCTGCTGGATTATTTCCTTATTCTAGAAAAGCCTGATAGTAATCATTCCATCGCCACCATTAGATATCATGGAGAAGAAAAAAACGCCGTGAGTGCTTGTCTAGAACATTCCTACTCCCGCTAAAGGCGACAAAATTGCTGGAACTACTTTTCCCACCGCCTTTTTTACATGACGGAGCAATATCTCTGCAGAGGAGTTTGTTCTGAAGGGTGAGTGTAGTAAATGCCAAACCTCTCCCTGCCATCTATGGTTTCATGCTCAATTTGTTTTTCCTTCGTCTCTTTGGGGAAATTCTTCAAAAGAAATTTGGAGAGTTTTTCGTCGATGTTATCTATGCGCATCAGCTGAGGATTATTCCACTTTGTCCAATCCCACAAATTTTTGACCTACCTTGATCGGCCTTTAAAATAACATCATCACGGCATAACGGGCAGGCATTGGTCCCACGCCGCTGCATAAATACTGTGCATCGAACACACAACACGTGGTTGCATTCCATTCTTATTGGCCGCCATACTATAGCAAGACAGACGGGACAAGTATAATCACTTAGCTGAGGTACTATCTGAACAAGATCCTGCGTCATCTGGGCGCATACGGATCTTGCCATCGTTTCCGTCATAATAACATCGGACTGAATCAGCCTGGGAAATGTTTGCCTAGCGCCCAGTGTTGTTCTTTTGTCAAATTCTACTCGTATTAGTTATGATCTGTAGAGGGGTTGAGGGATAGAAGCAGCGTTTCCCCAGTCAGGAGAAACTTGACAAGCATAGGACTAACTGACTTTTCAATATCTTAGCAATGGCTTTCTGATTGATCTCCTGAAATTGGAGATTTCGAAGTAGCGTAATGTTGATGCTTATGAACTGGTTCACTTGGGAGGTCAGGAATCTTCGTTTGGAAAGTACAAGAATCCAAGATACGTACATGCTTTACGGCTAGGGGAGAGTTTGAATGTATCTACGATGCCTCTCTTGACTACTTCACTTTGAAACCACCTGCAAAGAGCGCATCCAGTCAGTGAGCCGTGTACTTAACGGAAATATGCGTACTCACTGTAACCGCTTTAACGCAGCTGCACTATCACGCTTGCCGTGGTCCTTTTCAAGATCTGAAAAGAAGATTCCAGCTTGTAAGTAAACATCAAACAATTCTCTCCATCGATACTGGTCGGTCTTTTTGAACCTTGAAGGTTCGCTGAGCTTGACGAGCTCTTTTGAGAGGTCACCAACCTCGGCTACCAGAGCCTTCTGTTCCTCATCTTGGAGTGCATCTAGGTTGTGAACATCTCCCTGCAGAAGACCGAAGAATTCTGCATCAAAGGTGAGAGGCACCTCGACTTCCCGGACAAGCGGTTGTTCTACCTCTTTTTCTGCCGGTGGCTCTCTACACGTCACATCAGCAGCCGTCAAACGGGCCTGTCGTAAGGATACACTTACACAGGTATGATTTGTCCGCTTCCATCACTGATAGGGTCGACTAGTGTCACATTGGAAAGTTCCTGGTGGTGATTTACGAGATCCTCAAGATACCTTCTCGTGTCAGCCGACAGCCTGGCATCAACGGTGACTCCTTGTTCCAGCCGTAAAATAAGGGTGGGCCGGACCTTCGACCCTTATTCAATCAATATCTCTAAGTATAAAACGACATCAACATGGAAGGTTGGCCATACCCTTGAAGTCATATAAGTAAGCGGGCCCAGTACTAGAAATCTCTCTCAACTTAGCAAGCGCAGCGGGATCAAGGCCGCACTCTGCTAGCTCAGTCGCAATCTGGGGTTACTTTAGCTTTTGCATTTCGTAGTGAATTTTCAACCAACCTTTTTAAGAGACTTCTTGAGCAAACCATAGGGAATGGCAGAATCTACCCAGCGTGGCGGAAAGCCTTCTCTGGCAAGGGCATCTTTGAATTCTTTGGCAAATTTCATGATGAAAAGATGCAGCTCAATAAACGGTAATTAGTTTGTCGATTTTGTAACCTTTTGCTTTGTCTGCTATAGGGCTATTAGGATGAAAGATTCATGTGGCATAATTTGGAAAAGGGCAAGAGGGAGGTATAACGATGAGAATGTTATTGTTAATAATTAACCTATGGAGCAACAATTTTTGCGGCGGGTCAAGTATTAGGTACGTGAAGAAGTAAGTACCCAAGTAGATTTTTTTGAGAATGTGTGACGCCTCCTATAAAAGTTTCGGGGGTAAGATGAGGATCCGGTGTGTAGCACGAGAGGATTCGAGTAAGTAAAATGAGCCGGTGTGAAGCTTTAGCCTTATTCAGTGGTGACTGTCAATAATACTATTAGAAGCAGCAATAATAGCCTGACAAGGTTAACGTAAACCTCTGTGATGTTTTTCTTCTTTGCCCATTTCAGCCACTCTCGAGTCTCGACTGGATACACAGGCAGCTGGCAGGAACTGGTGAACCTTACTATCAAAAGTTTTGCTTGCCTACCTAGTAGCAGTGGACGACCAATTATAGTAAGGCACAAGAAAAAGTTGATTATCCCGGTGATCGAAAGTTGTGTACCGGTATTTTGTTTGTGGATCAGATGAGGGAGGGAAGGCACGTGGAAAGGTCCTTGAGTGTGTATTAAAGAGTCTAGTTCGTGCGGTGCTGGAGTTACAAGTCAGACCAACTATCTCGCACTTCCTAGCCACGTGCCATCTAAATGATAACGAGGACAAAATTGACAGATATTGAAGCTATACTACTTATCTACTACTAATTAGTCACTAGTCGTGGAAATGCAACTACCCGTAACCGTCTGTTGAACTAACGGTCGATTCAGAATTCATCGTAGGTTGCTTATGTAAGGCGGTGGTCTCTTGAGCAATTCCCATCGCGGGGTTCACTAAAGAGAAATATATTAGCTTATTTTTTTCTTATATACTCGAGTACACTTATTACAGCCCTAGGTATATGTACCTACCTAGGTAGGTAACCAGAGATCATCAGCAGACACACATTCAGAGATACTTCCAGACACCTTCATAATTCATTTCCAGTACTTGATAATAATTCACAACACAACAAATTAGTACATCTACATCTAATCAATGGGTGCAGAACAATCTTCCCCGAGGAGAGATGCACAAAGCAATGGCGGGGTGGTCATGAAAACATGTTACTATGAACTGTTGGGTGTCGAACGACAGGCTTCAGATGATGAGTAAGAGTCTGGATACAACTTCACCAAATTATCGCAGGATTAATTTACCGTCTTTAGGATCAAGAAAGCCTACAGAAGGAAGGCGCTGGAACTTCATCCCGATCGAAATTATGGTAACGTCGAAACTGCCACCTCAAAGTTTGCCGAAGTTCAGTCTGCCTACGAAGTCTTGTCGGATCCACAAGAAAGGGCCTGGTATGACTCTCACCGGTTATCAATACTTGGAGGTGGTGATCCTGCGGAAGACGATTTTGCAGAAAATATTCGAATGACAAGCGCAGCACACATCGTAAGCTTGATTGGGAAATTTGATTCCGCTGTTCCATTCACCGATGCTCCAAACGGATTCTTTGGCATACTTCGAGAGACATTTGCGTCCCTCGCGAGAGAGGAGAATGCAGCATGCGATTGGGATGGCCTCGAAATCGTCGATTATCCTGATTTTGGGACTGCCGAGAATAACTACGAGAACGTAGTCAAAGACTTTTACAGAACCTGGGTGAATTTTACCACACAAAAGTCATTCTCGTGGAAAGATCTGTACCGAACCTCCGATGCGCCGGATAGGGCAACTCGTCGATTGATAGAGAAGGAGAATAGAAAAGCCCGGGATGAGGCCAAAGCGGAGTTCAATGATGCCGTCAGGCACCTTGTTTTGTTTGTGCGCAAGAGAGACCCCCGCTTCACTCCGAATTCACAAACGGAGGCGGAGAGACAAAAAATATTGCGTGATGCTGCTTCAGCACAAGCAGCCCGTCAACGAGCTGCAAATCAGGCCAGGATGAATAATCATGTGGTTCCAGAATGGGCGAAACCAGAAGATACTGAAGAAATCATCGAAGAATCATCTGAAGAGTCCGAGGTTGAAGTGTTAGAGTGCGTTGTTTGTAACAAAACATTCAAAAGCGAGAACCAGTTCGAGGCGCATACAAAGAGTAAAAAACATATTAAAGCTGTACATGCTATTCAGAAGCAAATGCGCAAGGAAAATAAATCTCTGCATTTAGATACACCACCAGAACGAGGAAATAGCACTTTTGAAATCGAAAGGCTTGAAATTACTTCAGACAATGCAAAGCGTGAGTCTATTGTTGACAATGAAACAGATGTTGAGGAAGTGGAAGCTCCGCTATACAATAATGAATCGACTTTCAGCAAACCGAATGATCCAACCAACAATGATTCCGATATTGAAAGCCTAGATGATGATTACGCTCCCAGAACAGCAGTTGAGGGAAGGTTAGCGGGAGAAATGTCGGAGGATGAAACCTCTATTACATCGGAGGTGTCAAATCGTGATCAAAAGTCAAATAAAGATGAAGCACAAGATGCTTCTAGCAATACAACCCCTAAAAAACCTCTCGGAAAAGCGAAAGCCAAACGTGCCAAAAAAGCTGCTGAAAAAGAGGCTGCCGAGCAGCAGGGGCAAAATGTGAGTTACCTCCTTTCAACCATCAGTCAGTTTATGCTGATAAACTTTCAGTTTAAATGTGCAGATGTCTCGTGTCATGAGTCGTTCCCCTCAAAGACCAAGCTCTTCAATCACATCAAAGAGTTTGGCCATGCCCAACCTGTACAGAAAGCTGGCAACTCAAAAAAGAAGAAATAGAGTGTGAGTGGCTGAATGACAAAGTTTGGAGCATTGAGTGCGGTTTATGGTAGCTTTATACCCCCTGTTTGTACATCGAGGCGTTTCAAAGAAGGATGGTATTACTCAGGGCACAAAATTTAATGAACCTATTCATCAACACTATACACAACTCCACTAGTCTTGCATTGTGGTTATTTTCAAGCATTCCAACTTTCACAATCCAGACTTAAGATTAATATAAAATTTTAGTTCGAAAACAAGTCGTGCTTCTTCAGAATTCAATTTGTTTGGCATTATCTAAAGGTTATATTCGAACTTTAGAATCCAGGAGTAATGTTTGTGATGTCGTTCATGTCATCAGATAGGCGCCGGCGAAACATGGACATCGCCTTTCAAAAATGCATCATGTTACATCGTGACTACTCCCAACCCCGATAGCTGATGTCAATCTGGGAATATGTTTAAGAGTTTGTATTGGAATGGGATGGTAAGAAAGTATTGAACAGTACGATAAGTAAAAATGTGTAGATATCAACATTGACACCAATCAGGATTGTGTTTTGACATGAGAATGAATTAAGCATGGTTTCTATAGAGTCCCACTACCCTGAATGCCTGATACGCCTAAACGCCCTTGATAGATTGTTCCTCGGTGCCTTAACCATTTAATACGGTATCATCATCGTCGTCGTCGAATGTCTCAACCTCGTCAATGGCGCCGTCACGCTCTGCGCCAAGACCATGCAATGCCGGATCCCTATCTGCAACATGAATAACTCCCTTACCCTGTACCTCTCTAACGGCCCGTCGCCAGTCTTTCCAGTCGTTCTCATCGCGTATCAAGAATGCAATAAGCATACTAGGGTCCATCTCCTTTATGTGAAGTCGTCGAAGTCGGCGTGTATGGCATGAGTCAATATCCTCGGGAGTGTAGTCTTCTACATTATCATTAAATGGTAGTGCTGGTCGAGTTTGGTGGGGATCTAGATAAAAGAAATCTGACTCCTGTACACCAATGAAGTAGTGCGAGGAGGACGGGCGGCCTCTGCACCGAATTAGTAATAATCATTCTTCTAAAGAAGGCGGCTTACCCAGCGATTCCCACAGACTGAGGCATCTGTAAGGAGGATTTCAGCGCCTCCCAGTAGACGGGAGTTATCTTGTCAAGACCCAGCCTCGTACCAACTAAAATGAGAGTCGGCGTGAACTTCGTGCTGTTTGGCTTTGCAATACTCATGAAGGTGTCTTCGTACACGTCCGATCCGTCGCCTGTGATATACACGCGTAGCTCTGATTCAACTTGGCTGTTGGTCAACGCCCTGTAAATAATCAGCTACTTGTCAGATTTCTCCAAGATGTTGTGTTTACTGTATACAGCGAGCAGCGGCAGATGGTCCAAACCACTCTCCGGGGTGCTTCCCACAAGCACTTGCACCATGCTCAACGAATTTGTGAATTGAGTACGGAGCTCTGGGATCATCGGCGAATAGGGATAAAATCTTGCGTTCTTCATTACTAGATGAGCCTCGACGCCATTCTACGTCATGATTAGCCTGGATATAAAACAAGATAAGGTGAAGGAGGCGAACCTCTGCCCATCCTCAAGGTAAGTAAAGCATTCGCCAACAGGCTCTGCCCGGACCTTATCATACAACCCCACCCCGTATCAGAAGTAAACCCTCCTTGATCAACAAGCTGACTTCTCAAGCGTACTGATAGCGACATTGCAGAGAGGGCTTTCGGGTCTTGCGACTTAGCTATCGCTGGAAAGTTGGATCGATATGTGAGCCATATCTTGGCTTCGAAATCGTCAAGAAATGCTGTTGGCCATCCTCCATCTGTGCTAGCTGTATCGCAATTATCGTATTCTGAGCTTGATTCGAGGCTGCCAACGGTACTGTCTGGTGGAGTTGTGGTTTCTGTGGTGGATAAAGATTGTGCGAGTAGATATCCTCCTTCCTTGGGAGGAGATTCTGTAACAGCTGAAGGGGATGACTTGTCTGAAACAAGATATTCTTCACCTAAACACCAAATAGGTGATTTCGATGCGATATTGTTTGTAGGCTCGGGATCCCAGAAATACTGGACGAGGCGTTTGTAACGACCTATATCAACCGTCGTCATGGCTGGATGCGACTATGGTTCGTGTATCGGTTGTGTCGAATGCACATAAGACTGTCGAGTATTAGGTAGGGTGTGGCGGGACGATACAATAAAGGTAAGGTAGACTTCACAGTTTGAGAAATATATCAGAAGAAGTTGTCGTTTTTGAAAGTCTGGAGTTGGGGAGTTTGAATGGGTGAGTTGAGTGCTTGCGCTGGAGGCAGCTGATAGGTACTTAGCTCAGTTTAGTAGCTGATTGTCTGATATGTCTGATTGTCACATTCGCTTGGAAAGTGCATATACGGGAAAAGCGGAGGGAGAGAAAGAAGAATAAATATATATATATGGTTAATAATATCGTTCAGTCAATCACATCATGTAATATTCCATAGAGATTTACTAGGTGGTAGAGGATATATTATTATTGATCAGTTCTTCATTAATTCTACCTTTCATGGATGTCAATCAATCCAATTCAATGATGACTTATTCGCTGATACGTGATCCGTCTCCGCCCTGGTAATTCCTCTTTGTTATCGATAAGAATCCCTTTTACGCTAAGCACACTGACTCCTTGCTTGGCCTTGGTTAAAAATGCCCGCACGTACCTTGTAATAATTAACTGACTGTAATAGTAATTTATTTGGTTAGGTAGGTATCTACTTGTATCACACCCACCAAACGGATACAATTACATGCCAAATCTTCCACATCTTCTCTATTTTGGCAGTACCCAACTCTGATGCTTGATCCTATGCATTTGACCATCGAATTCTCACCCTCAAACTGTGAATCTTTCTCGATTTCATCGTAAAGCACAAGCTATGCCACGAAACAAACGAGGTGGCACTCGTGGAAGGGGCAATTTCAGCTCACCTAGAGGTGGCCGCGGAACTCCCAATCCTGGAACCTCTTTTATACCATTCGCTGGCGCATATGTTCCGCAGAGGCCTCATACTGGTAATGTTCACATATTCCTCGTGCAACTAATGCATTTGCTTCCGCAGCAGCATGTCGGTAGAGACTAACAAGATCGACATATCGCAGGCTTCACACTTCAAGAGGAAGCACGCAACACGGAACGTCATCATTCATTCTGGAACTCTGATCAAAGGTTGAGGGATACAAAAGTGAGCTTTGTCAGTGCTGGAGAGTTCAAACCAACCGATCTCATCCAAGATTCTGAGGAAGCATTGGCTGGAATGACCTTGGAGTCTGCAGAACCATCTGAAGAAATCTTGGCTCAGGATGTACGAATGGCAGATCAGGGAAAACCTATGGCTGCATCATCTTCGTTGTTCATGATAGATACCAATGGCAGCAAGCCCGTTGAAACTAGTCTTGCACCTCCTCGTTTACGTTCAATCTCACCCGCTAGGTCAGACTCGAGCGAAGAAGTCATACTCTTTCACGGGCGTAGTCAATCAGGGAAAAGGGATGTCAGACTCAAACACGATCTCCCAGCATATGCGGACCCAATAGATGCTAGGATTAAGATGGTGGAAGACAAACTTCTTGAGCAACATAAACTACTAGAAGAAACATTGGATGAAAAAGAGGCATCCTTAGAATCCATTCCGCCCGAGCTAGCAGAGGCTTTAAACAAAGAGACGTTTCTGGGGGCAATGCCACATCAGTGGGCCAATCCGCCTTCTCCTAACTTTGAAGCAATTCTACCCAAGCGTCAGAATAAAGGTCGCCATCAGGGTCGCGCTAGACGAGGTCAGCGAGCAACTGGAAGGGCCAATGATAGTGATGAAGAAGATGCCATGATTGCAGATTACATCGCAAACATGGACCAGCAACACAGCATGGATGATGTCGACCAGGCTTTCAACAGACGGGAGTTAGGGGGTGATGAAGACGCTGCTTGGCAAGATGACTCTTCTGCAGAAGAAACTCAAGATTCTGACCAAAATGAACGGCACGGATGGAGTCGGACGGAGTTACAGGACCTCGATGATCTAAGTACGTCAGATGAGGCTCGAGGCAAAGTCCAGACTGTTTTGTCCAAAAGGCGTCGTGTTGGCGGTTTGCAGTACTTGATTGTCTGGGAACATCAGGATGTAGACGAAGCCAGGTGGGTTCCACTGCATGTTTTGCAAGACTCCGACGCGCTCCCGCTCATCGAAGCATTTGAAGCTGAAGAGAAGTTGATCGCCGAGTTTGACAGTAATGGAGATGAAGACAGTGACGATTCCGGTGATATTGGTGATGAGGGTGATGACGATCATGATGACGAGCAGGATCTAGTTCAGAGGAGGATCGACAAAATGAACGACGAGCAGATTGCGAGGCTGATAGCTAAGCAGGAGGAGCTGGGTATGGGCGGAGATGAAATCCTACTGTTCGATGATGAAGTTCATGAGGATGAAGAAATCGAAGCTCCCACACTTGATCTCAATGAATTCATACTGTCAGGCAGAAGAGGTAGAAAGGAAAGACGCCGTCGCCAAGGTGAATTTCCGCCCGCAGCTCCATTGGCAGATGCTTATGATGGATTTGATGTAATGGACTTTGATCGGCCGAGTCTCAAAAAGAAGCCTAAAGGTCGCAAAGGCAAATTGATTCTTGATGACATCTCCGATTCAGAGCTCGAGGCCTCAATGCAATCAGCATGGGACAATGATCGTGCCAAGAAGAAGGAGAGAAAGCAGGAACGTGAAATATTACGTGCACAAGGATTACTGACTGGCAAACATGGCAAGCCCGATATGAAGGCAAAGTACAAGGAAGGAATGAGTATTGATGATGTCAATGAAGAAATCAAGGAGTTCTTGAAGGGTGATAATACAACGTCAGTATCCTTTCCATTTCTCATAATCTACATGCTAACATATTCCAGGCTTTCTCTTCCTGCAATGGACAAAGCCGATCGTAAATTCGTTCACGAGATCGCCAATGTCTTCAAATTAAAGTCCAAATCAGCCGGCTTGGGCAATAAGCGTTATCCTATCTTGTACCGCACTTCAAGAACAATCACTTATGGAGAGCGTGCCTACGAGGCTGCAGCATCGAAACTTTCACGGCGCTTCCTTCCTCGTAATGATGTAGGGAGAAGATCAGGTAACGGGTCCAGGCGTGGTGGTCGAGCTGGTGGTGGCGGTGGCTCCGGTGGAGGTTTCGGTGCAGCGAGTTATCGTGACGGTGATATAGTTGGTGCCTCGGCTCCTGAGCTGGGCATCGGGAACAAAGGAAGAGCGATGCTGGAGAAGATGGGCTGGAGTGCTGGCACCGCTCTTGGTGCTCTTGATAATAAGGGCATTCTTCAGCCAGTTTCTCACGTTGTAAAAACGACTAAAGCCGGTCTGGGATAAAGATCGCGAAACTACCAAAAGTGGATTCCGAAAATAGCTGGGCGTGTATTTTACCTCAGAAGCTTAAAGCGCGTCCGAGGCGAATTTTAGCTTTGATGAATTAATAAAGAGCGACTGGTGGCAAATTTCAGTTTCGTACGAGGCGATTTCCATTGCATCAAAACTCTTTAGTAGAAACTGTACATCTGTCGCGTTTTATTGAAGCGGGTGGGAATGGTGGATTAAGTTCATGTTTGAATTTCGTCTTCTAATTCCCTATTCTGATGTGAAGACGTTTGTTTATTGTACAGCCACGTACCCCGAAAACAGACCGTGAAGACATTTGCCCCCATAAAAATCAGACCATCCATAACGCATTAAAAAGAAAACCCCAAGGCCCTCGAACAACAACAGCCATCATCTGTCAGATGACCCAGAGCTCAAGCATATCCGATATTCCCCTAAAACCCCAAAGAAAAGACAACTTATTTCGTGGATGAAGAGTACTTGGTGACAGCCTTGGTACCCTCAGAAACGGCGTGCTTTGCAAGTTCACCGGGAAGAATGAGACGAACGCTGTGAAATTTGTTAGAAATGAAAAAATCGCGATGGAATTGGATTGGACATACGAGGTTTGGATCTCTCTTGATGAGATGGTGCTCTTCTTATTGTAAGCTGCGAGCTTGGAGGCCTCGGTAGCGACGCGCTCGAAGATATCGTTGACGAAGGAGTTCAAGATAGACATGGCGCGGTTGGAAATACCAGTATCTGGGTGGACTTGCTTGAGAACTATTGATGAAAGAAAAATGTTAGTGCTTGTGTATTTTGTAAATGCGACACGTTATTGTTGAAAACGCGATCAGAAAGCGCGAATGAGTTCGTACCCTTGTAGATGTATGAAGAGTAAGTCTCCTTGCGTCCCTTCTTCTTGCGTGGCTTTCCCTCGCCGGCGGTGGTTTTCTTTCCAGCATCTGACTTAGCTGGAGCCTTTGATGCGGATGCAGGTGCCTGTGTTTCAAAAAGTTAGAAACATTCATTTTGAGCTCAATTAGAGTAAAAGTACCTTAGTGGCAGCTGGGGCTTTGCTTGCAACTCCCTTTGGTGGCATTTTGAATATAAAATGTGATTTGGTGGATTGAAAGATATAAGGTGGGAGTTGAAGTTGATGTAAGTGTGCAGATAGACGTCAGTTTGTTTTGTTGTTTGAAATTATTCGAGGTTGAATGGATTGAAGGGAAAGAGATCGGTTTAAGTAAAAGGAAGACTTGCTAATCACTTCGTGTACACTAGCGCCAAGTGGTACACCAAATTCATGGTGGGACTAAAAAATAAATTATATGATTGGATACCAAATTGATGTGGGACCACAAGTGAATTATATGATTGGACAGCGGGTAGTGCCAAAAATGGTTTAGTTCTCTATAGCAAAGAACTTATGCAGTAGTGAAATCACAAGCTGTGTTGATAAATTACCGGCGCCCTTTCAACTTCCCATCATCAACAAATTCATTTTCCATCCACGCAAAACTTTCGACACAAGTTACTCCAAAATTCTTCATTGAATCAATTCATCAACTTCAACCTACTTTTTAATTTTATACCATCTTCATCATGACCGGAGGAAAGTCAGCTGGTGGAAAGGCAGGCGCAACAAAGAACGCACAATCGTGAGTAGCAATTCCCTCCTTTCACTCACCCTTTTACGACTTCCAATTCGGCTTTTCACTCTTATCAAGAATTCTTTTTCGCAATGTGTTCTCAATCCTAAATCTTCGATGCTAATTTTCATCCCTCCAGCCGTTCTTCCAAGGCTGGTCTCGCATTCCCAGTTGGTCGTGTCCATCGTCTTCTCAGAAAGGGTAACTACGCTCAACGTGTTGGTGCTGGTGAGTCATGCATTCAAAACATTCTGCTTTTTCATTTCTGACGCGTCTTTACCAGGTGCCCCTGTCTATCTTGCCGCAGTTCTCGAGTATCTCGCGGCTGAAATCCTTGAGTTGGCTGGTAACGCTGCCCGCGATAACAAGAAGACCCGTATCATCCCACGTCATCTCCAACTCGCCATCAGAAACGATGAGGAGTTGAACAAGCTTTTGGGACATGTTACAATTGCACAAGGTGGTGTTTTGCCAAACATTCATCAAAGTAGGTTTTCCCAAACGCTGTTTGCTAAATGACGATTTTTAACATTATTCTAGACCTTCTTCCAAAGAAGACTGCTACCAAGGGTGCCGGTGGAAAGCCTGCCAGTCAAGAGCTATAGATTTTCGTTTCTGGGTTGTCGGCTTGAGATGGTCTGCTTTTATGATAATGGGGTGTCGTATGGGTTTGGGTTTATGGTTACTTTTTTCGCGTTCCGGTTGTACATTAAAATCCATGGCAATGGATTAGGATTGCTTTCTGAATCAATCTTATGAATGAAATCCGAATGATCATTCTTCATAAGCTTCCAAAATACTTTACTTCGTTCTTCACTCGTGCAATAAAATATGGGGTTCGAACGTGGGGATCTAAAACGCGGGACGCGTCTGTTTGTTTTGAATTTCCCGAGAATATGGAAGAGCTTCGCCGTCTTGACTTCTGTTCCAACGTTCGACTTCCAACCTTGCAATTTGATTGTAACTCCCATTGGTTTTTTGGGAAGGTTTTCTTTTTCCCCCAATTTTGCACAACAAACGCGATTTCACGGGCTTTTCAGATCGTGCCTATTTTCCTCAAAAGCCTGGTCGGCCTGCATGAAAAGTCACTCGACGAGGTCACGGTCATGTATTCTAAAGGCATATCTAAAGTGCACCGAAAATGTCTTCCAATTTCCTGGTGCTATGTACAATTTCTCGTTTCTCCCAAAGACTAAAAGTCCACCATGTAGCCATCTATCTCCTATCTCCATGCGTTGCTCAGAAACTTACAAGACCATCTTTGGCGGAGCTATGAAATGTTAACGCGGCCATTTTGGCATTCGGTAAATAATTTAACTTACGGTCGAGAATTGGTGCTGGAAGGTTTCGTTCGTATTTCGATCCTTGAAAGATAACATTGTGAGTATAGAATGTGTCTCCAACCAGTCCAGAGGAGACTTACCTCCAGGTGCAGTAGGTGGGCGGTATGGATCCGGGTGCTTCCACTTCTCGAGTAAATCTTCTGTCTCTTTAAACAATGCCTGCGAACCACCAAATTAGTCCATGCATCGCTCATTGTGCCAATTAAGCAACTTGCCCTCTGTAATCTTGGGTCGCGGACGTTCTTCTGCGCCTCAAATAATGATCTGATGTACAATGCTTGACCTCTCCAGAGATATCGATGTACACACCAGTCTAACGAAAGCTTTAGGGAGCGTCGATAGAGCGACCTGAAAGGAGGTTTAGTACGGATGGCCTGTCTATGATGGAGAGTTGACACCCACGATACTGTAGCCTTGGTAGACATTATGAACCAAATCTAATCTGTTCTCCGCTGAGACTTAAAATAGATGGGTAATGACAAAAGGGTAGTATACTTTCCCGACCACCCAAATACTTTATCGACAGACTGACGCTACTTATCGGAAACGTCTAAACTGTGGTTGGTGGTTGGTGGTCGCGGAATGAATATTCAGTAAGGTGGAGTGGAGGTTGATTGTTGGAGTTACGAGCTATTAGATAATTAGGCGTGGGAATATTGTGCGGGCGTCTGCGGGTACGAATGTCGGGACATCGCTTCAAAACTCGCGAACCCGGAAAAGACATCATACAGTAATAATTAGCAAATCTTATCTTTTACCTATTTCTTTTCGCATGCGCGTTTGTTGAGCTTGGGAATAGGTTTTTATTTCTCTTCCTACGGTTCTCAGACAGTTCTTCGGATCTCTCTCAAATCCTCATCTCCTCTCACGGAACATAACCTCGTGAAGTTTTCTCTCCTTTCAAAATGCTTACCAGGAGGGTCTTAACAGCCTCGCGATTTTTGCGAGCTCAACGTTCGGCGGCACCGCAATTGAGATATCCTCTTCCAGTTATCCAGCAATTTCGCAATTATGCCGACAAGGTTGTCAAAGTACCAGAGATGGCAGAGTCTATCTCTGAGGGGACTTTGAAGCAATGGTCAAAACAGATCGGTGATTATGTTGAGCAGGATGAGGAAATCGCTACAATTGAGACGGATAAAGTCCGTATATTCCAACTTGCTCTAGAATCCATAGCTGATAAGGAAATATGTAGATCGATGTTGCCGTCAATGCTCCTGAAGCTGGCACAATAAAGGAATTCTTGGCGAACGAAGAAGATACAGTTACAGTTGGTCAAGATTTGGTCCGTCTTGAACTTGGCGGTGCTCCAGAGGGTGGTAATAAAGAAAAGGCCTCTTCGGAACCCAAAGAGCCAGCATCGAAAGACCAATCAACATCATCGGATCCTGAGCCATCGAAGGAGGAGCCGAAACCCAAAGAGCAATCCAGCTCTTCCCCACCTCCGGAGAAGAAAGCAGAGCCAAAGGAGACTCCCAAGCCCAAACCATCGGAGTCCAAGAAGCAAGAATCATCATCCAGTAGTTCCGCACCTACGTTGGGCAACCGGGAGGAGCGTCGCGTATGGATCATCACCAGTCCTGTACACAATTTTTCCGGCTAACAATATTATTAGGTCAAGATGAATCGGATGCGACTACGTATTGCCGAACGTTTGAAGCAATCGCAAAATACCGCGGCATCTCTTACAACTTTCAACGAGGTTGACATGTCATCTTTGATGGAATTTAGAAAGCTCTACAAGGATGAGGTTCTCAAGAAGACGGGCGTCAAACTTGGGTTCATGAGTGCCTTTTCTCGTGCATCTGTGCTTGCTATGCGAGACATTCCTGCTGTGAACGCATCCATTGAGGGTCCGAACGGGGGTGACACCATCGTTTACAGGGATTATGTCGATATCAGCGTCGCCGTTGCCACCGAGAAGGGCTTGGTTACTCCTGTTGTTCGCAACACTGAGGCCATGGACCTTGTCGGTATCGAAAAGACTATTGCTGATTTAGGCAAGAAGGTAATTTTTTTCTGTAGCATATTTAACTCGCTTCTTACTTACTGATTCACAGGCTCGTGACAACAAACTCACAATTGAAGACATGGCTGGTGGCACTTTCACTATTAGCAACGGTGGTGTGTTTGGTTCATTGATGGGTACACCAATCATCAATCTTCCACAAACTGCGGTTTTGGGTCTACATGCTATCAAGGATAAGCCCGTTGTCGTTAATGGCCAAATTGTCATTCGTCCTATGATGTACCTAGCCTTGACCTATGACCATCGTCTCCTCGATGGAAGAGAGGCCGTCCAGTTCCTCGTTAAGGTGAAGGAGTACATAGAGGACCCGAGAAGAATGCTTTTGTAGACAAACGAAGTCATGATCTTGACTGTAAATTATACCTCAACTGCATAAATTTAATACAACGAGAAAGATCAGAAAGCTCTTGGTCGTTCGGGCCCAGAAGCTACCGTCAATGTTACGTTTTGTTGTTACTCTTCTTCTCGATTCTTGTACAAGCGTTCTATTGAACACATCTGATCCACATGCATTGTAGTGTGTAGCTGATGGATAATTCATTGTCGCGGAGAAGGAGCCCGGGAACTTCTTCGGTAAAAGCTTCAAGCTATTGAATTTGACATGGTGATTATGTCATCAAGACAAGCGTGATGCTTCCTATAGATGTATCAAGACTTGTCTTACGCTCCCTTAATACCAATTTGAGTTTTTTGATTAAACATGGTATTGAGTTGAGGTTAGTAATTAACTATAAATAGTCTGTCTCGAGCTGCTTTTGTTCTGTTCATCCTTCGCTAAGCCTCATCCTCAATGAGCTGACAAAATTAGGGTAACGCACCTTGAATCCCAATCATCCTATTAGGATCCTTAACCTATCTCACGCCCTCCTGTAACCTTGAATGTCAATCGCGAGTTCATTGAGAACTTCAATGAGCGTTGAAAATTCGGGGAGGGCATTAAGGAGCTTGGATTATGTTAAGCACGTTAGTACATACATTGCCAAGATCAATGATGGTACGCACCAGAATCGAAAAAAACTATATCAAGTTCAGCCAGGACATTCTACACGATCTTTTTACCCAGGAGCTTGGATCTACTGATCAATCCGCTGCGAGCTCTCTCCCCTTACCAATTTCCGAACCACTTCACAACAAGGTTGTTTCTATCTGTCGCAATTTCCTGTACCTGCCAACCCTATGATGACAATTGACCTGACGTGAAGGAAGTGAAACAGCTTGTTTTTCTCCCATCGATGGATTTATACCCTTCTTAGAAGTTATCCTTCACGCGCAGTGTATTGAAGACACAGGTGTAGGCCCATTACCTACTTAAACCTTCGTTTTTACTCTTCTCGTCTATCATTGGAAATACACCCTCTGCAGTTGTCGTGTCTACTTCTTGCTACCTCAAACGTTACCATTCTTTTCCTTTGTTGCCTGTTTCTTTCTTCATAGTCACTCTTTCTGAATACACAATTTCACCTCTCAAATATACAATAGTTACAATTGTCTTCCTAAAATCTTTTAGCAAACAACACTTCAATCGATTCTTTAAAATGCAAAAACATTTCACCTCTCTTCTCGCTCTTGCTAGCGCTGCATCGGCACTTGCCCTCTCAGCCCCAGATTTTGTTGCGGCAGCAGACCCATCAGTGAGGACCCCGGTTTCCATAACTCCTCATCAGCAATTCTCCAGCTCAATCGGCGTTCTTGGTTGCATGATCAACACTAACCGTGTTGCGTACTGGCCCACTTTCCCGGATTGTGGCGCCAGCATATGCTTGCAGGTATCGTATGCTGGCCGCTCCGTCAACTTGCTTCATATCGACCAGTCAGGTGGCGCACATGATATCTCTTATGATGCTTGGAAATTATCTCTATGCTGGACAATCTGCTACAAAGAAACCTGAAGAGGGCGGGCCATATCTGCTACATATATCATCCAGCCCATGTCAGCGTGCGCGGATTTGATTACATCTCCAGATAAAAAACTTCCATTCTCGGCGGCGAACTCAATGAACTATATATCAAACTGTATAAATACAGGACCGAATTGGGTCGCACAAAATTATGGACTGTGGAACATTGCGACGAGTGCTTGTACATACGGAAAGGATGAAGAATGCAAACTGGATTTGAAAACAAATAATCAGCCTACTTGTCCGTCTCAATTGGGCTTACAGACACCTTTGACTTCAATGCCAGTTTTCGATCTGGAATATGGCACAGGAAAACCTGTTTTAGCCGTATAGGTAGATACAGGCTGAATGGCGTGTGAGTGGGATGGTGGCGGCCGATAGTGACAGACGAGAAGAATAGACTTTTCAAGAGTACGTAGTAGAAGAGAGGACAGAGAAAGCATGATTTCAGCTTTGTATTAATAATATAAATTTCCAACCGAGCTGTGGCACGATAAAGCGAGCTTGTAACAAATATATCATAAATAATCGACTTCCTTACTATAAGTCTAGTACTCTACTTTAAGATTGAAATTATAATTTTTAATTTGTATAGAATTTATATATAAACTTGAAAATCTTTAAAAATTGAAATAACTTTTTAACAAGTGTAATTAAAAATAAATTAAACTTTTTTTCTCAAATATTTTTATTGTAACTAATTATATATAAATTAATTTATAGAAATAATTATTAATTATTATCTTATTATCCATGTCACACTCAAGAATACTGGGTAAAGTATCTTGTTGTTACGAGGTTTGCCGTCTAGATCACGTGGAAGTGCTCTAGGCTCTCGAAGTAGGTTTATAACTAGGCGTCAAGCAGGGACTTGAAGTAATGACAATAATGATATGCAATTCGTAACTAATAGTAGAGTATACTAAATGATTGATCTTGAGCACGAAGCTCTATACAAAAGAAATCCATCTTGATTATATAGTCCTTCGTGCCTATGGTTAACTAGGAATCGTCGTTCCTGGGAACGAGCGTTCCTGGTTGTTCCTAGGAACGTTCGTTCCTCACCGTTCCATCACATGTTTTATGGTCATGTGACATACTAATCGTTTTGGACGTAACACTTGTATTAGAAAATACTAAGCTAAGGAGAAAAGAAGAAGGAAAACAAGAGTAGAGAGTTTTCCTATGATTAAATACAAACGGGGCATGCCACGTGACCCGGAGGTGTGAGGCGTCACAATCCAACTAATATTTTTTATATAAAGATTTAAGTAAATCAATATTTGATAAATACTAAAATAATAATTCAACAATTGATTACTAATTATTTTTTTAATATTAAAATTTTAAATAACGTAATGTATGGGGAACTCGGACATATGGGGAACTCGGACACTTTTTCAATTATTCTACACGCGATCTTGTTCTACGAGCCACACAATCCTCCAATTCCAATTCTGAATCATTTGAACTATTCTCTAGCTCTTCTTCTTCAATCTCTTCTTCTGATTCTTCAATTGGGCGCTTGCATAGTCGTCCTTATAGCTTTTTCTCCTTAGGTTTTTCCTCCACCTTATATACTATTTTCAGTATTTCCTTAGTACTAAAGACAAATTGACCTTGTAATTTGACTCTTTTACTTTTAGTTTTCTTTTTTCGAGTCTCAATTACTTCCTGAGCATCAGCGAGCTGTTTCCGAAGTAAGGCTATCTCAGCATTTTGAGATTCTACAAGCCTAGTCATTCTCTTGACATATCGATGAATTGATGATACAAGAGAACCACTACTTGCTAAAATTGTATTAAAGATCTGATTTGCTTGTATTAATTCTATCCTATCTAAAGAAGAATTTCTAAGTATAGATAAGTCTAGGTCTTGATTGGGGGTTCTCATTTATGGAGTAGAAAGTTGCTGGGAGAAGTTAAATAGTAATATATCAAATACTTTTCATAGGGCAAAAGGTATTAAACCAATTTCTTTCCAATCAGCTTTAATATTAAAAGAATGCAATATTTTTTTTCTAATATTTTGAAAGAGTTCTACTCATTTAGCTTTTTGAATTCACTTTACACTAGCTCGAGAATATCGATCGATCTTCAAAACATAATATCGTTTCATTAGTCTATATATTGCAATATTAAATAATTGAAGCAAATAGAAGCAATAAAGAGGTAATATAAGTAAATTGATATTTTTCTTTATATAGAAAATAATAAAGCTATTTATAATATGATTTGAATAATTATCCATAATCAAAAGTCGAGGTTGGTCATCTGACACTTTCTTGGATTCTGGTTCGAAAACCCTTTTTAACCATTCTAATCCATGATTATTTGAGGTCCATTCATTCGTACTAATAGAGAACTGCTAGCTTTGAGATATATCCTTTAGAATCCATACAGAATTCGTATTTTGAGCTTTGAAAATGATTATAGATAATAAAGCCTTTCTAATTGTATTAATACATTCAAATATAGTTATCCATTCTTGTTTATCAGCTATAACTTTTCAATTCAATTTCTAAGTAGAATCGATTATAATACATATACTTTGAGTACTTCTAACTCCAAATCCGATTTTGTCTATATTATATATATTATCTAATTCATACTTTCGTTTAATAAGATATATACAAAACATATCAAATCAAGTCTGAATATTCTCTAAAGTTGCCTCTTTAACCTAATTAGACTTTAATTGATATGAATAGCATATTTTAAGTTCTGGATGTCGTTTTTGGAATCTATAGATCCATTCGTGGTTTATAGGTGGAATTTCTATCGAGGTAGGAATTCGAGATAATGCAATCTGAATATGTTGAAAACGAATTTCGTCAGCCATTTCCTTTACTAATATAGGTGTAGCAGGGAATCTAGTGATCGTGAGTCATGAAATCTATTGTATAAGAGTATTTTCTTCTGTGTTTGAAAGAATTTGAGCCATTTCGTGGGTTTGGGAATATGTTTTCTTCCCAGCCAGCTTATCGGTTAGAGTGGACTTAGGGACTTCAAAATGCTCTGCAGCCTTTCTAATTGATTTAAATTCTTTTAATTGAAGTGCAACTATAGCCTATTAAAGCTTCTCTTCAATCTAAGCAAATGTAAAAGGTGATTGGGTATACATAATAAAAGTTATTAGGGTTTCAAGTTGGCGATGGGCAAAAAGTGTCCGAGTTCCCCATACGTTACATTATAAAAATAACTTTATTATTAATAGTTATTTAAATATATAAGATTAATTTTATATAAAAACTTTTTTTTATATATTTTGATTAAAAAGTCTATATTATATAATTATAAATTATATAATATGTTAAAGTGAATGGTTCCTGCGTAGCACGTGCACAGGGCACTAGTCCTATTAGGACTAGATTGAGAAGCTTGTCACGATTCATTAATTCACGTGACCTCGAGGACCTTTTGGACCTTAGGGTCCCAAGGGTCCTCAAAAGATGATATAGGGTATATAAACATTCATTTAGTCTCGTAGTTAAGGAGCTTCGTGCTCAACTTAGTTATCAATTAGTTTACCTACATTCTACTTGATCTAGTAACGACTTCACTTCCAAGTGAAGACCAGTGATAAAGCCTTAACCCACAACTACCAACCAGACGAAACCTTAGGCAGCCGCTGCCTCCAGTATAGTATCGTTACAAAGCTCTCTGTAAGAGAGCTTCGCACTTCCGTAGAACTTAGAAGAGAGATTAACCTACTAGACCAATATTACCTCAGTTCTGCCCTATCAGCTTCCCACTATTCCCTGTGTGAGATCATTCCTTTTAACATAATATAACGATTATAATTACTTTTAATATTTTTTTATTAGAATTATTATTATTGATTTGTCAACATTAAAATCTTGTTATATACAAGGTTTATTTGATATGAATTAAAGAAAATAAAAACTCGTTTAAATAAAACTCGATTTTAGTAATCTAATTGATCTGAAATACCCCAGCAGAATATTTGGAAAAAAAACCTTGGTGTAACCTAATCTTACAGTTTTAGAAATATCTGATTTAGAGGTTTTTTCAATTCGATTCAACTTATTCAATTCAATTTAATTCATTCAATTCAATTCAATTCATTCAATTCAACTCAACTCATTTAATTCAATTTAACTTATTCACCTTATAATAATAATAATAAAATTTAATTAATATTTTCATTCAATAATTCATCTAATAACTTATTTAGTTTTATATATTCTACTATAATTAATTTTTTAATATTCAAAATAAGCCGATATTTCGTCCGCGCTCTAATATATATTTAAGATTTAAATTTAAATTTAAAAAAAAGATTAAATTTATATTAGACTTTCTCAAAAAGCCAGGGGTCCGGGGGGCGCAGGCCCCTGGTTTAATCAAAGAGATTAATTATCTTAAAATCTATTAATTTCAATATATTTTTGAAATATTTGAATATCATTTTTATTAACAATTTTATTATTCTATTTATGATTAAATTTGAAATATTTATATAAATAATTATTATTTTTCTTTTTTTGATGAAATTCTTAATAAAATAATAATATATATTAACATATTTCAATTATTTATATAAATAAAAATTTCTAATCAAAACTAGTATTTCTTGATTTTTATTGAAAATTAATCTAACTTTTTTTTTCTTTAATAAAATAATTTGATTTTCTTAAATTCTTAAAAATTTGAATCAATTATTTTTTGGTTTGTAAATAAAATGATTGAAATATATTCAGATTCGATATTTAATAATATTATTGATTTTTGTTTTTTATCAAATCATAATATTGAATTATAATATTCCATCTTTATTAAATATAAATATTTCTTTGAAAAGAAAATTTTTATATTTATTATTCAATTGATCAATATTAATTAAAATCTTTATAATATCAATTAATAATATAATATTTTTCTCGAAATAGGATTTTTGTTTAGTTATAAATCTAGTATCTTACTGTTGAGCCACTCTCATTTTAGGTCATTTTTTTATACCAAAAATCA